TCTTACAATTATCTAACTATAGGCGGTTAACTAATTAAGGCGTAATATAGCTTATTATAGCTCCAGAGTCTATATAAACTATAATTAGATATCCTTCTAAGGTGCCTAGTACTTAGAATTTTCATAGTTTCTTTCCTCCTGTAAAAGTATTTAGGTTGTAGTAGGTTATATTATTAGCACTGTCGTAATAATTATTACCGTAAGGGTTAATATTAATATTATCTAGGTCTAAAGTAATCCATCCTAGTTCTTTATTTTAAATATTATAGCGTTTACACTAGGTATATTCGGGCTTAGGTATATATCTGGTAGTAAGCTTATAATACTTCCAAAGGTTATTCCAGTTAATTCCTTATAATTCATTATCGTCGCTATACTTTATAAGGTTAAATCCTTATCATTCTAGTTTATAAGTAACATATATAAGGGCTTAGTATTAGTACTAGTGTTTCTTATAATAATCTTTATTACAAAGCGTAAATTCCTTTTATCTACATTCAGCAGCTCCATAATCCTTATACTATTCGTTAAGCTTAATTATAATATATTATTTATATAGTAGTAGCTTATAGTTAATAATATTAGCTTTATTACATTAGTCAGTAAGTAGAATATCGTTAACATAGTATAAGATCAATTCTAATATCTTAGCTATTAGGTATTCGTCTACGTTAGTCTTAATATATTATCAAAACCAATTTCCAGGCAATTAGATCCAGTCGTAGGCAGTACTTAAATCAATCTATTTAATCTATCCCTATCGTTTAAGAAGCTTCTAGTAGTCCTCAAGTTCCTTCTATTATATAATTTCATCATAGCGTTTATTTTCTTTAATAATACCTTATATTCTATATCAGTCTTTATATTATTCCTAGTCCATTATAATTATTTTACAAAGGTAGTAGATACTTTTAAGTTCCACTAACCCACATTAGTCGCACATACGTTTCTCAAGGTTATTAATTTCTTTCTAAGTTATTCCTTCGCAAGGGTCATATTACATTAAGGACGCTATATCTCATTCCGCTATCCCATTCTTTTCTAAGTACATTTAAGTAATCTCTTCAAGTATATTCAAGGTTTATATACACCCCTTAGGGTACCATCCAGAACCTTATTTATCACTGCAGTATATTTAGCAATTATTATTATAGTATACTAAGAAGTGCAGTTTATTATAATCTACCAAAGGTTTCATAGTATTAATAATTCAGTTCTCTTTAGGTTCTAAGACAGGCGTAAATTTCTTATTGCCATCTTTCTTAAGGGCTCGACAATATTTCTTTACATATCCTTTCCTTCTACAGTTATAACATTTAACGTTCTTACGTTAAGCCTTAATAATACTAAGGTCCATTAGGCCTAGTTATCCATCGTTAAAAAAGGCAACATAATCGTTTTACTTCTTTCCTTAGTTAGCTTAGTATCCTTAAGTTCGCTTAGGTTAAACATTATAAAAGTTCCCGTTTTTTTCTTACTTCCGTTCTTTCTGTCGTTCCCAATTATAATTATTAATCTTAATAGCTTTTTAAATATAGTTAGTAAAAGTTATCTTTTTATAGTTAATTTTAAAAAGTTTATCCTTAACTTTAGGTTTTACACTATTATAGTAGACTTTTTTCTTAGTTTCCTTAGTCTAGTTGACCTTAGTTAACAGGCGTAAGAAAGTTAAAGTATACTTACTTAGTAGTCCTTTTTAGGTAATAAAACGAAGTTCTTACTTAGCTTCTTATTATTTATCTACAGTACTAAAAGACTTTTTAAGTTATTCCTAAAATTCCACGTATTTAGTATAGATTTCTTTAGTTTATATTTTAAGTTTTTTTAAATTAATCTTTCCTTCCTTATAATTCTGTATAATAGGTTGGAACTATATTTCAGCATCTCCTGTAAGGCAGCTACCTATAAAGATAACTCTATCTTCGTCATCCTTCAAAGTACAAGGAAAATATCTAAAATAAATTACAAATTCCAAGAAAAATTTATCCATCTTACGCAGATCTCCGTCAAAAGGTTCAAGCTTCATTAGTTTAATAACCTCACCCTTCTCTCTTTTCCCATCTTAAAGGTCCTAAAGCTAGGTCTTAAGAGCTTTAAACTTGGCCTTTAATTTATTATAATCAGCTTAATTAGCCATATTTTCAGCTAGCGTATTTTCAAACTTAATATCGCTATCGTAATTACTTTAAGCTTCGCTCTTGTAATTAGTATTATTATCTAAAACTCTAAAGCTTATAGGCTGCTAAGTTCTTAGTATCTTATTACCCATAGGTCTAAGGTAACCGTCTAAACAAAAGTTATTATCGTATAATAAACCAGGTCCTATAGGTACTATAGGTTAACTATTTCCAAGGGACAAACCTTAAAATAGTTCTATAGTTTATATTAGCAAAGCAATCAGGTTAATAACAGACAATCTTATTACCAGCTAGTAATATAAATAAAAGTAAATATCTATATTCTAATCTAATTATATTATAAACGCTATAGCTATAATAATAACTAGCTATCTAAGTATTTTAATAAGTAATATAAAGTAAACTTATATATCCAGTTGTATATTCTAAAGTCGAGTAGAATCGCTTATAATCTTAATTAATTCGTTCCTGCGTTAATTAGAATTAACGTTAATTCCCGTCGACCGCTTCTTAATTAGCTGCGCGGCCCAACGTTAATCCGGGAGTACCTACCCTGGAGGCCCCTTGTCGCGACCATAAGAGCTGGGTCGTGACAGGTTGGATGATTGCTAGCAATCCATTAGTCTAATTCATCACTTTGACAAATAAAGCACTAACAATCCAGGTCCGGAATATCTCTTGAGCTGTGATTAGTTAAAGGTATGATATTAGATAACATCTTTGGAAGACTGCGTAGAGTCAAACGCTCTGAATATTGGTTATAGGCATCCTGGTTATTATCAAGGATATTCCGTAGCGTATTCGCAATGAGGCCAAAGATATGACTGCCGGGTGAAAGTTTAACCATGTTAGAGTGGTTTTGGTCTATTTGTATGGTTGACGCAGGATCGGAAGTACAGCGATTGCCCGCAATCCAATATACCTCCATCAAGCACTCAGCGCAAGCCAGGTGCCTTTGAGGTCATCCAACCCAGCAGAGGAACAGCTCGATATACGTCTTGCGACCAAGTTGGGTAAATTAAAGCCTCAAAGGCTTGCCCACAGCGACAGGAAGAGACTTTCTCTTGCGCAGCAAATGAACCAGTTGTCACAGATGTTTGGGACTTGACATAAGATACAATTATTGTCTCGCAGTACACACTCGGTTAACAGAGTAATTCAGTTCCTGAGTACTCCGGACTTTTTGGGTGACAATGTCAACGTTGAGTAATCTTCCAAAGTAGAGTAGTCGTTATAATCCAGCCAGGATGTTTGGCTGAATTGAATTGAACTGAAGTTGGTATCACCTGCTGGCGCCCTAGTGAAGGCATGAGGCGTGCTAGCTAGTTTTTAAATGGGAATACATAATTCCTGGATACCCTAATTCTAACAAGTAACGGGTTGTGGACAGTTTGGTTCGCAGAATCAAATTACAGATAGCCCCTGCATCAACCTCGCAAGGCGGGCCGGCTCACCCACGCTTTTATCCGACTGAGTCCGGAGCAGCTGAGTCACATCGGCGACTTCCAATTCTAGAAGGCTATTTTGGTCTTAAGCTTACCAATTCGTGCTCTACTGGTCTGTGAGCCCAACTTTCCTAATAGAGGCCACGCCTGCGATTGGCGTCCCTTAACATTCAAGAACCTCGGCTGTGGGGCATGCGAGCTAGCCACATCACCGCAGCGGTTACAAGCCTATCATTTAAACCCTAAGGCCTTTCCATATTTTACTATCAGAGCATGTCTCCATTTCTTCGTCGCTGCAGCCTTCTGTGTTGTGTTGCCGTTGAATATCCTTGTACGCGTCCCACTTCTTTTTGTTTGTCCAAACCTAGGTAAGCTGAATGATCTCGCCGTTCGGAACTCGACTAAAATCCGGACAACATGCATTTCATGGAGAAGCTACAGCGGCTTATTCCTATGCGAGTCACGAACCGGAACTATTGTTGGATGGGCGAAATCTCAGAACTTCCGGGGTGGCATGGACCGTCTGAGCTGTACCTGACACCCAGTTGATAACTTGCCTCTAGAATATGTAAACAAGGCCCAGCTCTTATGACTACATTCAATCCTTTGGTTTAGCACGTTGACAATTCTTCTTATTACTTATGGGCATTAGACTAGGCTTTGTACCAGGGGTAATCGCTCGCACCACAATGTTACTTCCTTATCTCGTATTATTTAGCCCACTTTAGCATGACACCACCGATGTATACGAGTGGTAGCACCACCGGTTCAAATGATAGGCTCGTAACCGCTGCGGTGATGTGATTATTCCACTAGTCACCATCGTCTTTAATGGTAATACGAGGAACAAAAAAAGCAATACGAGGAACAAAAAAAGGGGGTGGTGGCACTAGTAAGGCACACAATCTTTTGCCGTGTTGTTCCCTAAGACGCAATGCAACCAACAACCCGCGATATTCCAAACCAGGCTAAGCCTTGGCGGTCTGGACCAACTGAGACCACCTCAGACCGGGGCATAATGCATTACATCCAACGCTTGCAAAATCAGCTTTTCGGAGAGAACATGCTGTGAAGTCTTGCTATATCCACGGCCTCAACCTCGCATTAATGAGGAGGACTCTGTGAGATTTTCGGGTTTTGCGCCATTGGGCCAGTAATTACACAGCCCAACGAGATGTATTCCCAATTCATTTTGAAGAGGATAGCTTTAGCTGTCAGTCTGCTTCTGTCTATACTATTATTTTGTCGATATATAACGATTTCCGATATTCGCCAACGATATCCAATACTATACAGACCCCATGGGTCTTCAGTTAGTGGAAATACTTCTTGCTTCTTGCAGAGTGCTAATAGGAAATGCACACAGATACTACCTGGTGTTACCACCTGGAAAAGGCCAGGTCATGTTTCCAAGGTCATGGCGCTCGTCTTTTTTGGGAGGCGGCAAACGGTTTCAATTCTTGACTGTTACTTAAAGGTCAGTTGGAGGATCGTCCCCAATGTCACCTCATGGCTAAAGTCCTAGAGTAATATAGCGGAATCTTGTTAAAAACGGAGGAGTTCTCGATGGTGTTATATTTGTCGTCCGAACGAAAGATGCAGCGAACCTGGCGTTATTAGATAAGATGGTGGCGAGCGAGCCGGCATACGAGAGGTTGCCAGTTAACCTCAAGTCCGAGGGATATACGAGTTCTTATGATTTCATCCAAGACGACGTGATGTATATCAAGATGGACGATGATATTGTAAACCTGACTTTGCTGCGACGCTGTTACTGGTTATCCATTCTCACAGAAAGAAATAGGTATATATCGAAGACACAGCGATCAAGGCCATTGCGAGTGCCAAAGCGTCTCGGCCAGACGTTTACATCATGTCGGCTAACGTCGTTAATCAAATTCTCTTCAGCTGGCTTCACAGAAACTTTGGCGCTGTGAAGCCGTACCTCCCAGAACTCACCGAAAGACCGGCCGATAACGACTCTGTGCCGCTCACGGACTGGAGAACGTCTGTGTTGCCATCATGGGAAGGACCAGCGGATTTTCAACAAGAGACTTGGAGCACAGAGCGGCATCCCAATCATAGATGGCTTCCAGTGAGAGGGAGAAACGCATCATATCCTCTAAACGACACACCAATAGCCAAGGTGGACTATACCTATGGCTATTCTCATAAACACTGGCAAGTAGCCGCGCAGGAGCACTACAGTTTGCTGGAAAACCTGGAGAAGGATGAATTATGGCGATACAGGTTTCCTACCTGGGATTTTCAGCTTAAGCGAATGGGTATCCAATTCGTGGCAATGATGGGTAAAGACATAAACCTAGCGAAGCCAATTCCTCCCGATGACGAGCATCATTTTACAGTGGAAATGCCAACACGGCTTGGACGACGTAAGTGCTACAGCCCCCATCAATACCGCCTTGGAAAGTTGGTGGAGGGGGTATGTGGTGTTGAATATCTTTCTTCAGTTCTGTCGATGAAGAAGATCAGTCTACAGATTGCTATTTGGGACACTGTACCACTTTTACTAACTAGATCTAATAGATGCCGCAGCTGACGGCACCGGAGTCGTAGCTCACTTCTCTTATGGGCCGCAATCAGGCAACCCCGGCGTGCAAAGTACAGATCTTTTAGACAGATATAGATTGTTCGCTCAAGAGAACATATGCAGAGGGGATTTATTATGGACACCCCGAGACGATTCTAATTCATAGAGGTAAAGTATTATTGGAGTATAAAAAAACAGCGTGACTATGAAAACTATTAAAATCAGAATCAACAGTAATGTGATCTTTGGTGTAGACGGCACAGCCTTCTGCTAGTATGAATGTGGGAACAGGAGGTCTGGGATGCCCCAGCAATGCAGCAGAGGCAACAATACACAGCCTCGTAGATAAACACTCGCTCAGCCAAAAAGGCTTCCTCATAAGGGTATCCTTATCGTCGATGGACTCCGTCGTTGTTTTTCTCTCTCTTAGTGCTCAAGCAGGTATTGAATAAAATGTGCGAGGACAGAGCGGGAAAGCATATGTTTTCCCATAAGTGGACGCCAGAGAGAATACGGATCGGGGAATAGCCCAAACTCGGATGTTAATTCAATCCAAAGCTCACATTTCTTGCCGCCTGTGTTACGGTGGCGTAGCTTACATGAATTGTGAATGCCTATCGTAATATCAGAGAGTTATCGTCGCAACACAGACGAAAATAGGAGCCGCAAAGTTAGACCCAGCCTGGGAATGTTTTGGGCGGTTGTCGGGCGGTATCACGAAATTCAAGAATTTAGTTCCCTCGTCCCCAGACGAGAAGTGCCACTTGGGGCTCAGGCCACTAATCATCTTAATGATCCTTCTCTGGCAATGATGTTTCATTTCGTGCATCTTCCATGCATCCTCCGGCGCTTTCCCTCTGTTGGGTGAACGGTATCCAATGATCAACCAACGTTGAAGATTAGACCTTTGGATGCTGGCCCATTTAACGAACTAGGATGCGTTGTAGTTCTAAACCGTGCCACCCTTCGCGTCCACAATCCGAATATTCAGCGATGAGCCCGACGGAGCTGGCCTGTGGGTGGCAACACTTTAGCCGGCGCCTGACAAGCTGTAGGACATATTCGTATTACCAAACATGAAGACATGAATTGCATCACTTGCTTCAATTGGAAATGGGGAATTGGCCAGCATCGACGGAAGTCTTGTTTTCCTCCCTCCAATGCAACTGAGAAGAGTAGTGGACGTAGACCAAGTTCTCAACATCAAGTCTAGCATTTGTATTCTACAGCAGGATAAGCTGGAGAAGCATATCCCATTTGTAAAGATGGAGTTGGACTTCAACTCAAAATTGCAGACCTTTACATTGACAATTCGCCTAAGCAAAGCCGTAACTCTCTTAACAGTCTTCATCTAGATCATCATCATAGTCATCTGTAAACTCCTACCCATCTCTACTCTTTAGGATCTGGATAACGCGCGCTTGAGCAACCTGGAGATGTACGTAAGACATTACCTCACATTTACGTTCGTTCTTAGCAATAATATCTAGGATATCTACGTTAGATAATAGTAGAGATACCATCCTTATCCTATTTAGCTAGAAATTCATTTTTTAATTATTGCAAAATCTTCCGTAATATAACTTTAACTATCCAGCGTTTCTGTCGTCTAAAATCAGTGTCACTGTTCTTGTAAGGTTGTTGGCTATCCGGGGAGTGGCCAAATATATGTGGATATTCTCTACCATCCTGCAACATTTGATGTCTACTACTATCTAATAGATACATATGCTTATACCGCCCTCCTATCGTCTGTAATCACAACATTGAGCTCCAATTGCAGATTTTTCTTTGGCACCTTGTGCCAGTGTTCTAATACTTCATCTTCTGGGACAAACCCGGAGCTGCTGGTCCAAGTCGCCGTTGCTGAACCTTGATGTACGAAATACCGAAATCCATGCCAATATTCATATGGCGTTAGCTCTGCCACGAGTTCCATTTCTTTTAGTACGGGCATCTGCAAGGCCGCGCGTGCTGCAGCGAGGTAAAGCCGCTGTATGGCTGGAGTTGCAATATCCAGGGTGAGCGACGACCTCTCTGTCGAGGCACTTGGTGCATCGGAGAGTACTGAGAACGCATCCAAAGAAATAGAGTCATCCGCATCTGGGTCGGGAAGAAAGAGTGGTTCACCCCAGGGATCATATGGCTGGTAATACAAGCCGAAATAGACGAGTCGGTCCCATCGCGGCTCTGCCAAACTCGCAGGGATCGTTCGAGGAAAGAGTATTTCATCACTGACTGGAATCCTTCTAACGCCGAAATCTTTAACGCGTTGAGATATGACGTGTAGGGACTTTGAAAGTCTATCTTCTTCCCCTTCTCTCAACATCAACACCTCAGTAGCCGCAGTTGGAGTCTGGTTATTACTGCCACCGTACGAGTCGCGCAAGTCAAAGTCATCGATTGGATGGCTGATTTGGGACAAAGCATCTGCAAGATCTATTACCCCAAGTATTAATAAATCGAGCGTTTGTTTAGCAGGGAGAGAGCCAGTAGAATTACCATTTCGCATTCTTGCAAATCTATCCGCTTTCCACCAATCGAGCCACACGTTTTCTGTTGCTGCTGGTAGCTTCGCTAACAAAGCACAAACGGCCACCACAGAGATTAGTCTCTGTCGATCTTCATTATCGGGTATTGTAAGTTTAGTTATGGTCGCAGCAGAGGGCAATCGCGCAATTCGCCCAGGATCAGTCATCTCCAGCACCGATTTTTTATATCTGGCTACCCATTGTTCCAGCGGATGATCGCGCCCCTTACGCGGCAAAGGCACGAAAAAGGTGACCTCGACACCATCTTTATGCCCCTCGGCCACATCCCACTGGCTCAGAGACTGCAGAAATGCCTCCAACACTGCTTGGAATGCCTGGTTGTTCCGTAGTTTCTCGTCAGCCGTCTCCTTGTAACTCCACGACCAAGGCTCGGGTTTAGGCAGCTTGACGCGGAGCCGAATATGGCGCACATACGCACGGCGCCGTGCCGTCACGATGGAGTTGAGCTGTAAGAGTGACTGCAAGTCAAGATGCAGGAGGGCAAAAGTCAACGGCTCAATCTCGTTTTGCCAAACGCGGCTAACGCTGGCATAATGACTAAGACGATGGCCCCGGTGGGGATCGTCAACCAGATAGGATATAATGCGCTGGAAGATTTCGGGCGGAAAAAGGACAGGTGCCATGATGATGATGCTTGATTCATGTTCTCATGAGGCGACAAGTGGAAGTGCCTTGGTCTGCTCAATGTTGGCGGTTGGCGGTTGGCGGTTCTTATACTGGACTGGACCCGTGCAGCTTTCAGTTTCCGTGTACCCACATGGGTGAAATTAAATCCTTGCTGCTTGGATTGCTACTCCGTAGTACACCAAGTGTATGTACAGGTACTTGCATACTCTCACCAACGCTACCAACGCTTTTCATTATACCCGCTTTAGGCAGGAGGCTTTTCTCTGACCAACGTTGTTTGGATCATCGACAGCCCAACAGCTCATGCACGCTGTATGGTTACATGTGCATGTACTGAAGCTGAGCCGAAAGCTTATAACGATGGAAATAAGAGAGGTTTTTCATACTAAGCTAACGCAGAGGTCTTAAATAACGGACTATACGATATTACGACACATAAGCACATGTATCTATTAAATAGTAGTAGACATTAAATGTTGCAGAATGGGAGAGAATATCCATATATATTTGGCCACTCTCCGGATAGCCAACGAGCCTCTACATGACGTACTCTACTTATGTATCACGCATATATAGAGGTACATATGCCCCTATCTTAAACTCCAACAACACAATCTAAGCAGATACTCCGATACAGTACGCCTCCGCGGCCCAGAAGCTGCAGTGACGTCAAAGGTTAACAAACTGCTCAACTTTAAAGGAAAAGAGATGTTCAACTCACTTCTTACAAGCATTCTCCAAAACCGGATTCCAAGAATCTAAAACAACAACGTTACTCGTTAGCCTGTTCTTTCAACTAGTTTGTCTCTGGTTGGAGAAACTTACAAAGCTGGGTAACCGTAATTTTGTTTCTAGTCGCAAACGATTCGCATCCATCTCCGGTCTGTGTAATTGCAAACTTGTTACATTTGGCAGGGATTCCAGATTGCGTCGGCCCAGGCGCCGTAACTTTGGTGGTGGTGCTGGAAGCTTTGGCAGTAGTGGAAAGCTTTGAGGTTGATGAGGGAGGCTTTGAGGTTGATGAGGGAGGTTTCGAGGTCGATGTGGGCGGCTTAGAGGTCGTTGAGGGGGGCTTAGAGGTCGTTGATGGGGGCTTTGAACTACTAGACGTGGTCGGTGCCTTGACACAGTAAGCATAGTCGGGCCAGAAGCCGTCGCATGTAGTAGCTGGTATTCTGTATTAGCCCATCTGTACTATAAGCGGAATCTTGGGGCCTTTTCATCTGCTTACGGTTGACGTCTGCATTCCAGGCAACAAATTGGGCGATAGTGATGCCGTTACTAGTAGCTATATCGCCGCAGCTATCGTCGGGCTTGGCAACATACCACTTCTGGCACCCTTGTACTGTTCCGGGTCTTGTTGGAGCCGGAGCACCGCCACTTGTTGTCGTAGACGCACGGGTGGTGCTAGAGGTTGTGCTTGAGGACGTCGGAGTGGGATCTTCACCCAAAACGCAGTACTATTGCATCTGCAGTCAGCAGGGCAGAGTCTTGCTTCACCAGTGGAAGCACTGTTTCGGTTCAAGAAACAGAAAGATGAAAACCACAGAATGAGAGTAGCTTACCGAAGTGCCAAGCCAAAGGCTCTGGCAATTGTTCCCTAAATGCCGCAAATTAGACAAGAGCCAGCGAAATAGAAATGGAAGTCATTCCACTGAGGAACTCACCAACAGCAGGATTCCAGGCGTAGAATTGATCGATTGTGATTCCCCATTCGGTCATGAATGTAGTGCACAGGTCATCCGAGCTAGTAGTTGGGGTTTTGTCCCAAGTATAGCATTCATCAGTAGCGCCTGCAGTAGCATCTGACGGTTTTGGTTCGTAAGGAGAGTCTTCGGTGTTGTTATAGACCGAACCAACTTATGTCAGGTAGACAGGTTAGCATGTGGTTTACTCTTTGAGAGACAGTTTCATTTCCTGACTTACGTAGAGGGTCCCAAAATAGACCACAGTACCTGGTTTCCGCATCCAGATAGCATGAGTCTCCTCTCTGCACACTAGGATTCCAGCGCACCCATGTCTGCATATCAACACCGAATATCTCCGTTACCCAAGAGCAATCCAAGCCATCAAGGGTGTTGTCATACATGATATAACAACCTGCGATTGATCCTTCTGCTAACGCATATGTTGGGGTAACCCATGGCATAGCTGCCGTCGCCGTGTTTGTTCCTGTTGACAGCGGCTCATGCGTCCAGATGGTGGAAAGACTGCTTAACTGATCAAATCCCACTGTAGTCGCTGGCGCTGAGCTGCTCGTCGTTTTGGGGCCTGATCCAGTGTTACCGGGAGGCGTGTATGGCAGCGGATTGCCGATGCACACCACGTGTCCTACCATGGCCGCAATATCTCTATTGCAGCTTAGCGTTCCAAGCATGGGATTCCACGATAGAAATTGCACGTCTGCGATGCCTGCCTTCTTGACAATGCTTGAGCATGTGTCGTTCATTGCAACTGTGTATGTCTTGCATGATCCTTCGACACAGAGGGATGACCTTGATCCTGGAAAGCCAACGCAGCCTGATGTGAGGCCATTGAGCGATAGGAGTTGCTCTGTGCCGATGTTGTGAGCGCGTGCAAAGTCGTCGCAGTTGGCATTGGTAGCTACTGGCACCATTGTTCCATGGCAAGTTTGCGTGGTTGTGCCAGTCGCGGAGCTGACGTAGACGGACCTTGTTGGAGTTGCGATGGGGGTGAGCGACCTGTGACAGGAAGAGACCCGCGATGTGTACTGCACCGCAAGGTCAGCATCATAATGGTCCGGGTCCTCCATCTGGGCACGGAATGAGCCCAGCTCACAATCATCACACTCCTGCGTGAGGCCTTCTTGGAATCGGAGATAGCACCATGCGTCTGACCCAGAAACAGCACTATGGCTTTGGTCAGTGGTCGGTTGGATATTGATGTTCTAGGGAAGAAACTGACCTATCCTTGAGGCACCCAACCTTGTACTTCAGCAAGACCAAGTCTAGTGCAAGAGATGGCTTAATGGTTTCGCCGTTGCCGCCAAAGATGTTCTCTTGGGTGTCTGTTCCAGGTAGATATACGGTGCTATTGGATGATGGAAATGTCAAGGCATCACCACTGCAGGCTGATTCAATTGCCTTGCTCAGCGAGGCAAGAGAACTAGAGCAGGAGGCGGTGCATAACGAGTCCAAATCGTCCGCTGTCAATAATGCTGGCGTGGCGATTCCGCTCATGGCATCATCTTGAGTGAGCATCGTGATTCCATCACTGAGGCATGGCACGGGAGATTCCATGGCCTGAATGCATTTTGCCGACAGCAGGTCTTCAGTGCCGGTCATATTAAACAGCGGCGCAGTGCCATCAGCAGAAGGGTTCGGATTGAGCCCGTGGGCAACAATGGCGAAACCAAATAATGACAACAACAACATCTTGAAGTCGTTGCCGAAGGAGCATAGCAAAGGGTAGAGCCAAAACTTGGAGGCACAGACTTCAGCTATTTTCTATCAGTTGCAGGCGCATAAGTATAGAGTCATCATCAAAGTCATTTCCTCGCTACTCATCTAAAGGGAACATGGGCCGGTTTCTGATTCGGCCATTCGCCTCTCCGAATTCCGCTAGAAAACCAGAAGTCAATCTACATTCAAGACCTCAGTACAATTTCTCTTTCGTAGGATCATATACCATGTTGCACTTGTGGCAAAATCTCAACAAATCCCCGAAGCAACTGTGGGTTTGTGGCTCTGCAGCGGCAGGGATCTTTTGTGCCCCTTGCGGCTGACAAGGATAGGTGTATTTAGTGTAACTGCGACGTACAGTATAGAGTAAACAAGAATTAAAGCATACATTTAAGTTTAGACAGCTTCAATTATACAAGGCGCTCTGTTCATATACCCGCATCTCCATACGTTTATCTTTACTAATATCATACGCATGTTCATTGGATCTATTATAGGAGTAACGGTCTCACTCCAGCAGACATATAATAAATGTCTGAGGTATTTAGCGATGAAATGCGGCTGGTGAAAAAAAACTTCGCCAAGTCGGCTCGTATTTCGAGCTAGTAGGTTCCATGTTCAGCGCTTGTGCTTGAATCACAAGCCGGCAGGACGAGTAATTGATCTCATTCCATTACGTTTACGGAGTAGCGACGTTGACATTACTCTATATCCATAGCCTTTACTCCATACGGATATAGATACTGTACGTAGTTAATCCGCTTTCGGCAATGCTTTCTCTGGATAATGAACGGGTCTTTCATCATTTGCGGCCAGCTTCCGGTGGTTCCAGCCGTAGTAAAATGAGATGTCCATTGGAGATGGATCCCGCACAACCAACAACATCTTGGCATTTTACAACTGCTAGGAAACACTGGTCATGACAACTGCTGTTGGTCAGATTCAATCTACAGAAGGAAACTCGTTTCTTCAGGGTCCGATTCCCCCACATATGGTGCCACATTGTTGAGAAGCTGAACATGAGTCTTGACTATCACATACCCACAAGTCTTGGCATTTTGTAGCCGCGGCTCCGAGTATATCCATGAGAAAGAGATTTCTGAGGGTCGATATTGGTCTAGATGAACCGGGACGAGAAAATACATTATTACAAGGTTGTATAGTCTGTCCCAAGAGTCATCAGAGCACTAAAAGTGACTCCATTGGTGTAAATATGTAACTGAAGGGTCTTCGGGATATCGGAGTTCATAACCAACAGCATGATTCCTCAAGTACAGATACAAATTGCTCTATACTGAGTGACTATGATAATCCGGTGGTCCTTCATATGAATACCGTCGACCCTTAGAAGACTCATTACTTGAATTCCTCTAGTTCTAACTTCCTATACCTTCTGACGACGCTCATTCACTTTTGTTTCTTATCTTAAGGTCATCGCATTGCATTGATCATTTTGTCTTAGAGTATTGCCAGAACATCACTGTACTGAGAGAGCTGATCATGGGGGAGAAGCGGGCCGCGAGGCCCCAAAATGCCAATGTTCTTCTCATGATAGCTCTTGTTGCCATACTATTCATCTTTACGTCTCCTGTAACGGCTGCTGGACCAGAAATTGGTCGAGACTTGGAACTAACGAGACGGGCGATACCCGATCTTGGAGAACAAACCAAATTGATCAATCTCTTTGGACGAGCTGCTGCTGTGGTTGACGATCACACATGCGCCAAGGGCCGTCCATGCCTCAACGGAGCTTGCTGCGGTTCCAGTGGTGCATGCGGTTACGGTCCTGTGTATTGTGGTATTGGGTGCACCTCCAACTGTGATGCTAAGGCCGAGTGCGGTCAGTTCTCTGCTGATGGCAAGACAACGTGCCCGCTAAATGTGTGCTGCTCTCAGTTTGGCTTCTGCGGATCGACATCAGTGAGTGCATTGAGATTTCTGGCATGGCTTCTGTATAACTAATTATATCCTAGGAATTCTGTGATCCTAGCTCTGGGTGTCAGTCTAACTGCGGAACGCCTCAAAGTCCTGGATCAGGAGGCAATGTTCGCTCTCAGATTATAGGCTACTATGAATCGTGGAGTTCATATTCTGGTCGATGCGGGTCTCTGAAGCCTTCTCAGCTTCCCGTATCCGCTCTCGATATCCTCAACTTCGCATTTGCATATATTAGCCCTGAAACGGTCAGTGATTATCTCCATCAACCCGGCTTTTACCTTTGCTCTTAGGTTCTAACTGAAGCAGGCGCAAATCATCCCTATGGTAGGGGAAGATGGAAGCAGTCTGGATGACCGCGAGGCGGACAAACTTTACAAAGCGGTCACTTCTGCCAGATTTGGAAATCCAAAGACAGGCTTTTGGCTGGCCTTGGGAGGATGGACTTTCAATGATAACAAGTAAGACCGAGATGATCTTCAAGTCATCGCAAGGACACAGTACTGATGAGATTTACAGCACAATCTTTCAACCTGTATTTGGTCAAATTGCGTCCAGTGGAGTTTTCAGAAGTCAGTTTGCCGAAAACCTAGTCGCATTCATGTCCGAATATGGGTTTGATGGCGTTGATATCGACTGGGAGTATCCAGGTGCTGGTGATCGTGGCGGCACCAAGAACGACTACGATAATTTCCCGCTACTCTTAAAGGCTATCCGTCAGGCATTCAATGATCACGGCCATGGGCGCTGGGGTATTTCTATTACTGCCCCAAGCTCATATTGGTATTTACAATGGTTCAACCTCGGGGAATTGGTCAAGCACGTCAACTTTATTAATCTTATGAGCTATGATCTTCACGGCATCTGGGATCAAAATAACGAGATTGGTAAACAGATCTTGGCACACACCAATCTCACCGAAGTTGATCACGCGCTGGAGCTATTCTGGCGTAATAATGTTGACCCAAAGATGATCAATCTCGGCGTCGCCTTCTATGGCCGTTCGTACAAGCTTGCCGATGCCGCTTGCAGGCTGCCAGGGTGCAGATTTAGTGGCCCTGGTGACAAAGGAGAATGCAGTAACACCGAAGGCTATCTTTCATACCGAGAGATTATGGACAAAATAAAGCAGGCTGGTGACTCAGCAGAAGAAATCTGGGACGAGGTAGCTGCTGTGAAGATGCTTGTCTACGATAGCAACAACTGTCAGTCTCCTTTCACACTTTTGCATCAGTTGGCACTCTGTCTACATAGGATAACTGACCATGTTTGTCTTCGACAGGGATCTCATACGATGACAGCACCACATTTCAACAGAAAGTAGATTTTGCCAACGAACGTGGTTTGGCCGGCCTGATGATCTGGGCTGTTGATCAAGACGACGATGGTTTCAACGCACTACAGGGACTTACAAACAAGAATGTCGATTCTGTCATCCCGGAGAGCGATTTGATGGGTGAATTTGATATCTCACGTTGTTATATCACCGAGTGTGGAGGCGAATGCCCAAGGCAATCGGGGCTTAAGGAAATAGTTTGTCACACCAGTCATATCTTCCCGCTCTGTCAACCTTTTTATTTGCCTTCACTAACTTGGTGATCGCTACAGACGAGGCTGAATCTAAATGAACAAGGAAAGGGCTGTCCCAAATCGGGCAAGGATTCTCAGCAGCGTGCCTTGTGCTGCCCTCCCTGGGGAGCGCCAGACCCAGCAACGTGTTACTGGACTAAGAGTTGCAAGGATAGATGCGACGCGGGCGAGGTAACAATCCCTTTGCTTCATTCCGGCGTTTCCAGGTTTTGAACTAACATTTTGAGTTTCAGACAACTCTAGCCCTCGACGATTACGGTGGAGGTGCTTTTTGCTCCGGCAACCGCAAGCAGTTCTGCTGTCCGGCTTCAAACATTAACAGAGCTTTGGGCGAGTGCCAGTGGTATTATGGCTTCGTAACATCCTGTCCCAAAAAGGAGAAGCCACAACTGCTCGCTGCTCTTGATTCATCAGTATTGTGCTGCCCCAAAACTCCAAGGTTCAAAAGATCTACTTGCAATTGGTATGGTAGCTCTGTCTTTTGCAATAACGCGAACTGCCCTGTGGTAAGTCTCAGCTACTCTTTGTTCTCTCCGTTTAATTGATATCTTGCCACCTTTACTGCAACAGGCTAAAGATTGACTAATCTTTGATCAGGGTAAAATTACAGTTGCGCGAACTTCAAGGGCCACTCCCCAGCGCCAAGGTTGTTACACTGGAGGCTTAAAGTCTTACTGTTGCGATTCGCCTTACGGGTAATTGAAGCATCCGCATCCGCTGAAATCCATGCGTACTAACCTCGAGATTATAGCGGCGACGCAGGTGGGACACTACCTGTTGCTCTGGACCATCTTTTTCCTGAGTATCAGGAGATTCCTGCTGATGATGAAGCTGTATACCAAGAAGCCCTGGATAGCACCTGGTCATGGGATATTGACCCTGACACTACACCGTTCGGTTCGTTCATTATAGACCCTACTTGCTTGAGCCTCATCTAAACGCCGATTATCCTGTTTGCTGTTTCTAACCAGCGGTTCTTTTTAGCTTGGGTCGTAATGGTCGGTCCCCCGGAATCTGTACAATCACTTGATAAACGGGACGGGTCTTCCCTTGAAACTTTCGATTGTCCCAACCCAGATCCCGGAGATTACAGCGTGCAGACCTTCAGGGCTATCTGCTTAGCTGAATCGGAAGATCACGATTGTGAGGATCTCCTTCTCGGCGATGGCGCCTACGGAACTATCGCTCGCCTCCCTAAATCGTGCGGACCAGACGAGTGGGTTCGCGTCGTTGACTTCAAGGAAATCCATAACTCGACTCTACCGCATCATCTCGTCAAACGCTCGACGCCCTCCTCTAAGGTATATGAGATCAAATACGATTACCGCATTCGCGATGTCGCCAGTGACGAGATATTTGTGCGAATCGATACTTCCAGCCATGAGCACTACTGGAGCAAAGTGGTGGCATCAGAGCTACAGACTAAAAAGCGCAGCGAAGGCGATCTTCAAAACAACAATGGTACCAAGAAGAGGTCTGATATCTCGGACTGGCGCGAGCCTCACATGGAGTGGTTCCGCCAGCATGAGCTACGAAAGCGCGGCGCGGGCAATGACGGCTGGTGGAAGAACTTGTTCAACAACCTCCTAACGGACGGCTCCGATGTCAGTGGTGAGAAAGCCAGCTATAAGTTCAACCAAGTTTTGTACGAGGCATCCATCAGCTGTCCGCCAAACTTTGATGCGTACATATCTGCTAGAGTCGCCGGTTCAATATATGCTGATCTCGACTATGGAGTGAGCTTGATTGGTAGAGTCAAGGACACCAAATTCGAACAGGCCTTTGCCTACTTTTCAATTAAGGAATTTGGGGCAAATGCACAAATCTATCTCGAAGGCGAGTCACAGTTCACCTTTGAATCACAGGAGGCTCATCTGCGTAAGTTACAAAATACTTGCCCCCTTGTCCACTAGAAGGCCCTCATACTGACCTGTGCATTATGTACATGTAGTTTCCAACTTCGCGCCTTGGGGGGGGAGTTTCAATATCAAAGGACTGGTAACTATTGGGCCTTTTATGGACTTGACAGCGCAGATAGACGCCATTGCAACAATTTCTGGGTAAGTACACATCTACTCTTTCATCTTTCGATGGCATTTCAGCCACTTATATATAAGCTGCAGGTTCTTTGGAAGCGGTGTGAACATTGACAACACAGACCCGACAACTGGCAAGACTTCGCCATTGACATGGATGTACCCACCCTCGATGGAAAGCCTTCCAGACCCTAAAGCGATTTTTTCGGGCATGTATCCATCCTCTACTACTATTAGACCATACAGGAAGGTTTCCGTCGCCGCTCAGGGTTCTGTCGCTCTCACGCTCACCCCGAGTATATCATTCAAGGTGCAAATCGATATCAACGGCCTTCTTCAGACTAATACACACATCACCGCTGCTTTCCCCAACCGTATGGTCGTTGGGGCGGGTACTTCCAACACTTGTCCCAATGGCCTGCAGTACAGGATGGACTACGAGCAACAGTTCAACCTCATCACCAACACAACTTCTCTGGGTTGGGATATACCCATGAAGAAGATCTACCAGGCAACCAAGCAACTGTTGCCACCCCAATGTTACTCTTTCACTGCAGACAGCGTCACCCCAGACAGCAAATTGAAATCCAGAGCTACAGGCAACGCAACAGAAATTTCCGGTCTACACTCAATTCGGCCACGCGCTGATGGGGACGATCAAGGGCCAGCCGTCAACCCACTCTTCCCTGATCCGCGGGGATCTTGTTTGGTATGCCCGAGGGACACGTACTTTGCGAGCGGCGTCTGTAGCGACTTTTATGATCAGGATGGCAATCCGATTAATCAAGAGTGCAGAACAATTGATGATGATTTCGCATCAAAGAAACGCAGCAAAGATACAGACCCTAAGTCCTTGAGGCCAGAATACGAGAGTATCCTACGATGGTTCCAAAAGCGAGGATCGATTGTCAAGCGTGCCAAGGACGCAGTCACGATTTGTGGGAAAGATGGGAAAGGTAGGAAAGATGGGACGCCTGCAATCAATTTCGCTAGACTCAACTTCCCGAGTTCGGGTACCTTGATCGGTGGTTATAGGGGCAAAACATACAAAACGTATGCGCCTGATAATGCAGGCGACTTGCACAACTACGGTAATCGCTTCCTCGCCTTCATGGGTGTGCTGCTGCTAACGACCGAATAATTAGACTTTAAGCAGCAGCCGTCGATGCCTCCTCCCACTAGTTCCAAAAATTACGATGCAGAGCATATACTCGTGAGTAACGCCAGGCACACATTTTATGATGTCTTCAATAGTATTGTGTTTACTGACTGTATCTGTGAACATAGGAATTCCAAGTTGTAAGCCTTTTAGTCACATATATCATCAAGTTCCTCGTCACCGCTAGTGCGCGAAATCGCTAACACAAGTACAACATCAGCTCAAGCAATTCTTTACCAAAGTGGTAGAATACAAACAAACCGAAAAGGATCCTAAGGCCCCCCCAAAACTCAAAACATACAATAACGCAGCAAGTGCAAAATTTCAAGCTTCTAAGACCTTGAAGAAGGATGCCTGGGTCAGGAAGTCGGAGTGGACCTTTTGCGAACATCTGGCGTTCTGGCTGGATTCGATCCCCATGACGGCCACCTGGTACGACCAACTGGTGTACCAGGATGGAGCTCTCAGCCAAACAATGTTTCAGTCGCTTCCCAACAACAGGTTTTATTTTGAAGAATTGGTTCTGCTAGATGAGAAAACAAACGGAGTCAAACAAGCGTAAGTGGTGAACCTGCTAACCTGCCGTAACAAAAGCGCGATTAGATGCTAATCACTCTTGGATAGGGCATGGAACCCAACTGTAACTTTCGTCAGAGACATTCAAAATTGTATACGAGCAAATAACTACCAGGGTGCGATTTGTTATATGCGCCAGCTTATCTTTGCAATACGTTATCATCAATTGACGACTGCGACACTTAAAACCCAAGCCCTCCGGGTCGTTGACTTTCTGTCAGTATTCACCGCTTACTCAAGCTCTCGTTCCAAATTTTTGTTTCTTTTATTTTTCTCCCTTATTTCTTGCTTCCATGTTAGATGGTATGAAGAAACTAAAAGGCTTTTTCTTCCAGGGAAAAAATGGAAAACAGCGCGGCAGTTATGATAGACCCTGATTACGTCACTCGACCATATGAACGCCTTGGCTTGGCTAGCTGTTTCAAATACTTCATGTTCGACAAGACTAGACTAGCAGGCCAGAAGCTGGGGCAGATAGATGAAGGCATGAGGGACTTGGCTAAGATATTTGAGCCAGCAGCCCCTGGAACGGCAGGCGGTGGCACCACAACGGGCGCGCAGCAACTCAACCCGGACATTAAGCAGCAATGGGAGGAGCTCAAGGAGGCGTATTTTGGCTTGGGGTCCTGGTCATGGCGCCCAATCCCTTTGAAACCAAATGACCCTTCTCACAATCCTTTTGAAGATTGGGAGACCGAGACTAAGTGTTACGAAGGCCAACTTGAATGAAGGCGAGCAAATACAGAAGCTTGTCAAAATATCAATTGTCATGCTACATCTGCATGCTATGTACTTAGAAAACTAGGAGATGCTGGTGGGATAGCATTCGATTACCTTAAAAGTGTATTAATGAGCTGTATAAGATGATAAGCTGAAAGAAATATGAAACATTGGAGATAATAATCCCGGCGTTTGGAAGATGTATGTTTATCATAAATGTAGTTTCAGGTGGGTAGAGAAAAGAAAAGTCGTTGAAGAGATACATCAACGTATGTGTCAACTGACAGCGTTCAAATAGAGTAGGGATGATGAACTAGGCCATTGAATGGCATTTTGATCATCAGGTAAATTATATTTTATAGATGTTCGCAAATAACTTCGAAACGCCTAATTCATGCTTTTTCTATAATTCTCTAAGCGATATACTATACAAATCTTAGTCCAACAAATAATTAGTATACGTTTCCTTCGCAGCCTCTTGTAGCTCGTCATTTGACAAGCTCGCCAACCTAGTCATGCTCGCTGGATCTTGTAGCGTACCCGCCCAGCTGTCTACCACCAGTCGTAGAGGAGTAATTTCGTGTGGTATCGTCCCTTTATCCCTATGGATATACCTTGCATATATCGTCATACCTGTTGCTGCAGATGCCGCTACGATGAGACTAATGAGGCTAACAAAGAGCAGCGTTGGAACGTAGGTGAGGTGGTAAAACTGCTGCATTGCTTCGCCTGTTACGTTGAAGAAATATTCGGGCCTGTCGCGGGAAGAATTCGTTGCAGCAACGTTGTATAGCATTGTCTGGGCACGACCCGAAGCGAGTACAAAGTTGGAGACAAATGTCGAAAAGTTGGTCGTACAAGCCACCATTTGCCCGGTAATGCCTGGTAGTCCGCAAGCCAGGCCTCCTCTGATGGCAGGCGCAATACCGGGGATTGTGCCTCTCTCTATAATAGCATGATAATTGAGCGCAACCTGCCAGTCTGCGATGAAAGAACGCGCGGCGCTCTTGGATGGCTCAAATCTTGACCCAGATAATTCCCAAGGCTGCCCTGTTGAACGCGTGTAGTTGGCGACTCCTTCTTGTCGAAAAAGAGAGCAATACAGAGAGTAGGCGGTAAAAACTTCGTTGATTTGGGTGATGTTCAGTGTTACAGGCTGAATCTCGCCAAACGAAGTTGATACACTGGTGTTTTCCGAATGTGATTGCAAATAACCCAGAACTGCATGCTGATAGTTTAACGAAAAGAAAACGGTTGGAAACTGCGTCGAATACTGATCCTTGATATCTTCAATAACACCGGGATACCAGTAGCTGTGCAGCTGAGCAGTTGTATTTGGGGAAGCGAGCACCCCCGTCAATTCGACTGTTGAGGCGCCCATCTGCACAGGGCCAACGGCTCCAGGAAGCAGCTTCGCAGGTTGGCATGTCGCACTCAACCGAAACGCAGGTATATCGTACAATGCTACCACTGAAGATGACAATTTATTCAAGGAAGCATCCGTCACGTTCACTCCAACGTAACCCCCATCGGAATCGAGACTTGATGAGTTCAATAACAGCATCTGGTTCAAAAGGTTTGTGAGCTGCCCGGATACGTTGGCTTGTTGTGGTATGTCGAAACCGAAACTGGTTGATGGGAATTGAACATTCACATGTTGCTCTACCTTAGAAGCAACGTGCGTTGCCGTGCTAATTTCCAAGTCGCTGAGTGTTCTAAGTGTATATTTGTCATTAGACGGCATTCTTTGAGTGTAGGCTTCGTAGGCAATGACGTTGGATAAAGTCGTCCATGCAATTGCAGAGGATAGCGTAAGTAATGTCAGAAGAAACAGTCGCCATGTCCGTCCGCGTAGCAGCGAGAGGAAGTCGACCAAGTTATAACTCCCGGTAGACATGCCACTGACGGTCACCAGAGTTGCCAGCGGTATTCTGCGCCGCTGCTCTTCTGGGACGTTTCGCGATGCCCGGATAGCCACCCGCGCATAGCTAAACCAAATGAGGTTCAAAGATGCCATTATAATCGGTGCGATAATTGCGCTGCAAAGAATGTCAATGGCTTTTGCCGCGCCTTGGGAGAAGCGTCCGCCAATCACCAAACCGGCAAATGACCCAAAAAGCTTCGATTTTGGTGCTGTGAGCGCAAGCCAGACAACCAGCGCAATCACAGGTATGACAAGAGTCGACAGTAGCATTGGGAACTTGATCATATTGTAAAGTCCACTGTGGGACGCATGGCTGCGCGTCTGTCTTCTTCCATGGCTGGGGATCTCGTCATAGGCGATATGCGGCACATCCTTCCCCGTTGGAAGTGAATGTGACGGTTGTTGATATCCTTCCATGGAGTCCGCCACGGTGGGCGAACCAGGTCGCATGTCGAGCTCTCCCGCAAGCGTCTGCTCCTACTCAGCAACTTAATGAATCGCGACGTAACACTGCCGAGCGCCGCGTGGGTAGACCATAAAGATGAAGTAGATTTTGAGCCTCCAATGGCTCGAGCCGCACACGGCAGACCGAGTTCATATATAGCGTCAAAATGGAATACTTGCCCATCTCAGCCTGAGCACCACTAAAAGTGCCTTGAGTGCTTTGCGGGGCGTCTCAAATAACTGACGAGTTTCTTTCCAGGGGTCTTAAAAAAGACTAAACCCCCTTGTGATGCTATCAATAGCACAAAGGATCGCTTGTTTTTGAGCCTCCATGTCATCTGGTTGGTTCGTTAATATTTAACCATGTAATAGCCTAGCTATTATTGGAAGTTTCAGGGTATAACACGGCGTATACTGCAGCTATTATGCAGTCTAACAGTACATTAGATAGGGTTCTCGCAGGCGAAAGCGTCCTTCAGGATTCAGTGATACTACATCGCCTCAATTAGGATTCGCTAGGTTTTAGTCCGCATGGCTGGCGGTAAGGCTGGATTTGCCGCTTGAGAGCTTCACGTGGATCCTGACCGTCTGCATCAATAACTATAAAAATTAAGTTGTCGCCCAGGTGTACAGCAAGAGCCACGTCTTGAGACGTACATCTCTCGGAATCATCGACGGAAATCGTGTAGACTCTCGCGCGCTCATCGACATAGCTTCTGGTGCCGCTGGGATCAGTGCCGAAACATACGGTGATGGAGCCATGAGATGGAACAGCCGCTTGACGAGAGTATCTTTGCCGACGCGTACAAAATACCGAGCTGGCGCGGTTGTAGGGCTCGTCTCTACCATCGTGATGGCCTCTCCCACGTCTTGTCAACCCTGCTAAGCGGAGGTTTGTTGGGAGAATTGATGAGGTTATGGTCACTCTGAGATCGTGAAACCATGCGAGAATGATTGCTTTATTGGCGTCTCAGAGTCCAAAGATTGGAATTGTTATGGTTCTGCCCACACACAGAAAGCAGATAGGAGTCTATTGCTGTCCGGATATTGGTCCCGGACAGGGCGTCGGCCGGCGACGAGGGGGGTGATTTATCGAATGATATATAAGCGCGCAGATACCTCTGGTATAAGAGTGGGGAATTTATTATATAGGTAGGATGCAAGTGCGCAATTGCCTCTGGCATAAGAGTGGATAGTTAAACAATAAATACGCGCGAAATGGTCCAGGTTGCCAGGGGGTTGCGCTCGACCCTGATAAGGAAACCTTCATCTACTGCAAATTCTTTGAGCTTGCAGTTCGAAATTTATAATACCTGCAAGCCTAGCTTATTGTTTTTAAGAATAAACTCGACCGACAAGATGGAAACGATACCAAGAGCGACGATATGGACCCGGGAGATGCCATCCTCGGCATTCATGGCCATTCATGGCCCAAAAGTTGCGATCACCATTGAATAGCAATTCCACGACTTCAAACATCGAGCCTACTGGAGCTGGCGTGCGGTGTTATATCGCCTGCGCCAACACCGTTATCCCTAACAGGTGGTCTTAGCAATAGTCGTCCAACCTTATAGTCCCATAGTAGTCAAGTCAATTAATTATGTAATGAAGATCTAGTTCCTGAGATTCGGTTAACGGAGACTTCGACTCTATCCTCCCTCTATTGGTCAGTGTAGTGACGGGGTCAAGTTCTCGATATTAGGCATAACATTTGTGGTCTCTATCAGAATAATCAGAACAGCATATCTCAATTGTGGAGGTCTCTAGGTGGAGTTCGGTTCAAATTGCAGACCGTTACATCGATAGCACGTCTAAGCGGAACCCATGATACAACCGATACTCTCTATCTGCTAATTTATTTCCACGCTTTTCATCCATATACCGTCTAGATTATAACCATAGCCATCTGTAAAGCTCTAAGTCAACCTCTCCTCTCTACAGTCTAGTATCTCGTGAGCTTAAGCATTTTAGAAATGTACGCAAGGCATCTTAATTCAACCTCGAGCCAAACAGCAGCATCGAGTAGCATTAGTCTAAAGTCTCCGCCATCTAATAAACCCCATCAGCGAAATCAACAACAACAGCCTTCTCAAGAAGCCCTCCAATAAACTTCATAAATTCCTGATGAACCGGGTCCTTCGTAATGTAATAGTCTCTATCCTCAGCTGAGGCGAATTCGGCAACAACACCATGAGTGAGCCCACCCTATCCAGCGTCAGAAATGACAAACCCACGGCAAACATCATGCAGTCAATGGTCGGGCAATACCTGCATATTTTCGGGGGAGTTGTCCTTCCCACCCTTCAACGAAATGATGTATTTCTCTCCGGAGGTCGCATGAATACAAGTATCTTTCAGCGCAAGAAATCGCGCGAAAGCCTGTAAAAAACATCCCAACAACTGGTCAGTAAAACGATGCCATATAACTGTGTTTTTGTAGATAGACATATAGCACGGGCCGCTCTCACAGCTTTGACATCGTCGGCCGATAATTCTGCCTTGAACTGGAAGAGAACGGTGTGAGTGACGCCCATTGTGCCTTGAAGCGTAGAGTATAAAAAGCAATTATAAGCCTGGTTAAAGTCAATCACTACAAATATCGTGAAGAAGGTAAAGCAAACAATTTATCACAAGCCGGCGACTATTTATTGTTGAACTAGATGTAGTGATGATGATTCGAGAGCTCGGTCAAAAAGTCTCCGCGCACGTCACATGACAGCTTTTGAACAATGCGGTTGTGTTACATTGCATACCTTACAGATAGAAGATTGCAAAATAAATACTCCGTATGCACAGATAAAAGGAGAATACGCTTCCTATTATAGAGGAGTTTAGTGCAGCGGATTGTCTATTTTTGGATGCTGATCATTTCTCAATTCCCTCGGACATTTCTTACACACTCCTTGTATGGCCAATAAATATGCTGGTTGAGAGAAGCATCATCACCAGTATCAAAGGATCGGAAACATCGGCATCCTCATCAGCCATGACAAATGACCATTCTACCAAACATTAATAGCAAATCATCCCTATCTACTACAAAACGAAAATCCCAAATGTCTTTTCATCCCTCCCCAAAAGCTCCCAAAACTCCACCAGCCAATGAGCAATAATGCCAAAGCAAATGAGAAGAGAAAAAAAAAGAAAAAGAAAGGGAGGTATCTACATATGGCTCTTGGCTCTTAACTGTCGTAAAAATCCGAAAAAGAAATCATAATGCTTTTTTCTTTCCTTCTTCCTCCAGCGATATTTTCCCCAGCAAAGTAAAACAAGAAAACGCTTTCCCCGTTTCACTTTACAGGTACAAGCTCTGGGCGGCCACGATGTCTCTCCTAATCTTCTGTAAACTCTCATCAAACTTCTTCGTCAGGTCATCGTTGCCCATGACCTTTGCGGCCTGGGCCATCTGTCGCAGGAGCTCTTCGAGGCGGCGGAAGATGCGGATGAATGAGCCTTCGTAGACATTTGCCATTTTGCTGAAAAGAGTGTCAGTAAATTCGCCGAGGTTAGGGATGTAGGAGCTTCAACTTACCAAATCTCAGCAAACGTTCGTCCCTGAGCCCATGCATACACAGTCTCCATAAGCTGCCACTTCAAGCTCTGGACGTACTCATCCTCGTTGACATCCAACTTGGACTCCTGGCTAACCTTGGCAATCATGCGAGCCTTGGCCTGAATCTCACGGAACGGCTTCTGCAGCTCCTCCTTCAATGCCTGAGCCTCCAGCTTCTCGTCAAAGACAAAGCAGCTGAGCACAGCGGCAATCGCCTCGGGAGTCATCTCGTTGAAGAATCGATCAAAGAGAAGCTCCGACAATAGGAGTTCGTGACCCTCTGTAGAAGAGATTTCGCAAGCAACACGAGCCTTGAGCTGAACGACTTCGGCATCGTTGATGAAACCAAGGCGGCGCAACACGCGCTTTCTGGACTTGAGCTCGTCCATCTGCGCAATGCTGTGAGCCTTTGCAATCTCCTTCTTCTTCTCCTTGATCTTGTCCAAGATTTGAACCTTGGCGTGATACTGGTCCCATAGGGATGGAAGCATGGGAGACAGATGCAGAGGGTTTGTGACCAGTCGAGACTCGAGAACTTCAATCTTGCGGAGAAGCTGCTTGAAGGATTCATCCGAAATATCCATATTCTCCAGCGGATCCAAAATTGGCACGCCATCCGGGAATCGACGCTGCACTTCGCTCAAGGCTTTTGAAGCATCTTTGCGCTCGTCATCAGATTTCAGGCCGTCCTTGGGAATGAAAATTCGAATCTGGCTGATGGCTTTGATGCATGTGAGGAGGCAAGGCACCACCGCAAACATGCCATCCTCCTCGCCTGATGGCTTAAGGCCCGGTGGCATGTCTCCAGAGAGCTGGCCAGGAATGATTTCGGCGCTGTCCTTGGAAATATACAACAGAACCTCGATGATGTGGGATTCCTGGGGCGGGTAATCAGGCTCACCAAGCTTGGGAGGTCGTCGCGAATACGCATCAGTAATGACACCCCAGCCAAAGTCGAGTCCACCCCCAATCTTCTCTGCCGACTCTTTCACATTGTGGATCTGCACAAGTCGACCGGGCTGCAAAAAGGGGAGGCAGTAGTTCGGGTGCTGGATGACTGCTCGCATATCTTTCGTGTAGGTATTCAGTGATTGCCTGATGGTGTAGTAATCCTTGACAGTGGCTTCATCTGGTATTGTCAGAGCGTCCTTCTCTTGCTGCAGTGCCATTAGATCTTTCTCCAAGCTGGGAACGCTGGCCGCGTTCTGGAACTGGTGGAAACATCGCTCCAACATGAACTCGGGGGAGATGGCTTCGATTCGGAGTAGATTGAGGATCATGTTGTATCCCAGATAAAAGGCAGAGTTGAGTCTGTCCTGCTGACCAGTGACAATTTGCTTGGCGACTTCCGGCTCAAGCTTGTCATCAATCATCATAATGACAACACCTCTGGCATCGAGACCACGACGACCAGCACGTCCTGCCATCTGAACGTATTCAGATGAGGTGATTGGTCGTCTCTGTACGCCGTCCCACTTTGTGACCTGGGTAAAGACGACAGTCTTGGCAGGCATGTTGAGACCAATGGAAAAGGTTTCGGTCGCAAAGAGAACCTTGATCAAGGATTCCTGGAACAGAATCTCAATAGTCTCCTTGAGAATGGGCAGCAGACCTGAGTGATGGACGCCGACACCCTTTTGCAGCAGAGGCAGGAGGTTCATGATTTGTGGCAGCTCTCGGTCCTGTTCTGACAAACTGTCAATAGCACTCTGGAAGACTTTGTTGACCATGGCCTTTTCGGAATCGTCGTTGAAGTTCAGGTTAGAGATCTTGAGGGCCATGTTTTCACACTCCCGCTTGGAGAAGTTGAAGACAATGACGGGGTTAAAATTCTTTCTAACCGTCATTCGGATGATCTTGTTGATATCAGAGCCTTCGTCAGCGCCACCCTTATTGGTCTTCTTATTCTTTCCCTTTCCTTTCATCTTGGCAGTGGGGTCAGCCGGGTCAGCGCCCTTCTTTTCCTCCACCTCAGCCATAACAAGGTTGAAGTTTTCCTCGTTAAAGCTACCCTTTTCATCCACCACCATTCTTGCGCCCTTTCCGCCGGCGGGATAGAAGTAGTTTTGTAAGGGTGTAGGTCTGAAATCGGTATAAACGACGTGGCACGCTTGGTGGTGGATCTTGGCAATCCACTCGGCAAACTGGAAAGCATTCGGAATGGTGGCCGAGAGGAAAACATATCGGACCTTGTCAGGAAGCATGATGATGGTCTCTTCCCAAACCACGCCACGAGTCTTGTCTCGCATGTAGTGGATTTCGTCAAACACAACCCAGGCCACCTCACGCATAATCTCGGAACCACGGTACAACATTGACCGCAAAATCTCGGTTGTCATGACCAGACAACTGGCCGTAGGGTTAATCGTAACATCACCCGTCATCAAGCCAACATCTCCAAAGATGGCCTCAAAGTCTCGATATTTCTGGTTACTCAGAGCCTTGATCGGACTAGTGTAGATGACCCTCTGGTTGCGCTTGAGACATTGTGCGACTGCGTATTCCGCCACCACCGTCTTTCCCGCACTTGTATGCGCTGATACAAGCACGCTCTCCTCGCGCTCAATGGATGCGACAGACAAGCTCTGGAAGGGATCCAGCTTGAAAGGGTATGTTCGTGCAGGCTCCTCGGGCGACTTGTGCTCTGAAAGAGGAATGTATTCGTAGTTGAGGTCCGGCGGAAGAGCCACTTGATGCTGGATATTGTGTGACAGAACGAGCGATGAATCTTGCGAAACGAATGTTGAGGCACCCGCAACCTCTCTTGACTCTGCTGTCTGGAAGTTGTCCGTCATGACGGGCCCAGCGCCGTCAGCCTTCTTGCGTCGCTTCTTGTCCTGCTTTTCAGGCGTCTCCGAGTCCTCTTCGCCCTCGGAGTCCTCGTCTCTGGAAGTCTCGGCGGCATCAGCCATGCCAACGTCGGCGTCGTCGTTGTTCGCATCCATGTCGGCATCGGCATTTCCATTCATAGCTTCGTCGGCCTTCCGCTTTTTGCTCTGGGCTCTGCTGCGACTCTTCTGAGGGGTTCTCTCGTCTTCGCTGGAGCTTTGAGGCTCCGCCTTGCCCTCGAAAACATCAAATAGGTCATCCATCTTGGCTGAATTTTACCACTCAATTGTGGTTGTGGAGAGGGTAGAAAATCAAGGTGATACGAAAAAAAAAAGGCACGGGTCGATTCCAGTAAATGGTCGAACCAGCCGTCCTGTGGTCTAAAATCGTAGAGTGTGGCTCTTGAATAAGCTGTAAAACAGAAAATTTCAGGTTGGCAATTAAAATGGCATATCACAGCAACCACATTAGCTACCTGGAAGACCGAAACTGCTCCCAGGGATGAGAGAATGCAAAGATTGCTTGCCCAAACTTTCCCGAGAAAGAAGTGGATTTAGGACGGCAGAAAAGAAAATAGTGGTGCCAGCAGGAGAAGGCGGTGACGGACGCATCGAGATGCAGCAGCTTGGCTCGGTCCATAGAACCCGAACTAGCCTTAGTCAGCACAGATTGCTGCAGAGCTGCACGTGACTCGCAGCGCCAAGCCTTTCGTTTTGACCTCAATCGAACCATATTGAACCCGGGAAGCTTTATAGCCGCAGAACAAGAATCTCAACCTCGCTGCAACTCCACGCCTCGCCAATCTCGAACGCCTGTCAAAGTCCGCAATTCCCTCTACGAAATAAACCATCCGCCGTGCTTCTTCCAGCTAATTGACCTCGTCCAGATGCTCTCCCGCGCCGCCACTCGCACCACCTCCGCGGTCGCCCGCCGAGGCTTCCACACCACCCGCCCTCGCATGTCCTCTCCTTACCACTACCCCGAGGGCCCTTACTCCAACTTGCCCTTCAACCCTCGCAGCAAGTGGTTCGGCGCCGGCTACTGGGCCTTCATGGCCACCGGCTTCTTCGCTCCCTTTGGCATTGCCGGTGAGTTCGACTTGCTGCCCCGCCATGGATCGCGGTTTTCGTTTTGCGCTGTGATGCTAATACCCGAGGCTAGTCTACCAAACCTACAAGACCCAGTAAACGGATTCTTCGATTACAAAAGGCTTATATGGGTTGGACGCTTGGTGCTTTGAATTGGTGGCGGACTATTGCGACAGAGTAAATAGCTCGAATTAGACGTAGGACCATTTCACAAGTCACATACATAACAAAACTTGTTCCGTGCCGGTTCCATTTTGTGTTCACCCTTGGGATTGCCACCTGGATATGATTCAAAACTTGTCATAAAATCATTGCTGCATTGCATGATGATCCCCATCGACGTAGGATAGGGCTAGTCTATATGTTTGGCAAATGCTATCTAACGTACATGAACACTTATATACAATCACACAAGTCGAGACCTGATCATAGCCACGACGTATCCTTTCTGCTCCGCTGATACTGGACATCCTCATTTCGCGTAGACTTGAGATCTTTGTCATGCAGAATGTTCTCAAACAGTGCATGCATAAACTGCTGGCGGTCCGGGTTGATATCCCACCTCTGGGACATGGAATCGAAGGTCTCGAGAAGCGTCTCGTTGGAGCAGCATTTCTTCACCGCACGCAGGGCCCAGATGACCACCCATTGGTCTATACGGAACCCCTCGGCACGCTCGTCGTGGGCCTGGTAGAAGGCTGCCAGCACACCTTCTAGGCGCTGCTCAGACCAGTCCGAGCCAGTAAATCCGCCATGTATGTAGAAGCCCTTGAACAAAGCCAAAAAGATGGTGGGTTCGATGGAGATTTTCAGATGTTTCATCTCATCCAGATATTGGGCAACCTTTTGTAAGTTGCCAATGCGAGTGGCATAGTGGTCAATCAGCAGCTTGTAGGTGTGCAGGTTTGGAGTAAGGCTGACGTTTGTCTGAAAGGATTTCTTCAGCTCTGGATGCTGCTTGCCAACTCGAGTAAACATCATGAGAACTTTGGTGACCACCTTGTTCATCATGTAGTCCTTTTGGGGAATTTCCGCTGCCATATGATGGTCGTTTTTCATCCGCTGATACGTCTCTTCAGCTGCCCCTTCCTCGCCACACCTGAGAAGGCCTGAGATGACGCAATTGAGGACAACAGTATCAATCATCTCGCCCGATTCGACCATTTCTCGGTATGCCGCTCGAAGTCCCCCTGAGTCAAGCTTCAGTCCAAAGTAATGAATGAGACTGACGTGGTGGAAACGGTTAAACTCAATCCCCCGATTCTCCATTTCCTTATAAATCATGTCGGCCAGTGTAAAGTTGCCTGCCTTGGCGGTAACGTCGAACAGAATGTTAAACGTCACATCGTTTCCCATAACCTGTGCTTCCTTTTCCATTTCTTTCCAAATCCTCAACGCCGACTCCATCTCCTCGGTTGTAGCCCTGGCAGTATATTTGGAGGCAAAGGCCAGCGCGAAATTCCACTGTGAACGGCGAAGAGTGAGTCCGGCGTTTTTGACATCCGCAACTAGGGCGAAGTAGCGCAGCATTGTGTCCATGTCTCTCTTTTGAGGTGTACCCATGACTTTCAACAATCTGTTTCGCCACTGCCACGTGAGGCATAGCATGCGAGGCTCCGGAAGTTGGCAGTATAGTTTGTATATCCCGTCGAGAGTGTAGCGATGTGGATGCCGCAGTCGTTGACCAATGGCAGTCTGAAGTCGAGTCAGAACACCTTGAGTCCCATCATCCACCATGGCTGTCTCATCCGATGAGGGATACTGCACATCGCCTTTTCTCTCCGACACTCGCAGTTTTGGTCCATCTGGAGCGGCATATCCTCGGCGGTACGGGTCTTTGTAAAAGTCAAAATACTCCTCGGCAGTCCCTACTTCGGCCTGGTCGACATATGAGAGCATCTTGTCCTTGTCTTGGATCACGACAGGCGGCGGTCGTTGTCGTGTGCCCGCGGCTAACGAGGCAGCGGCTGTCCCGTAGGCGCGGGCGGTGCGTCGTGGATTCTGCGTCTTCTGCGTTGAAGCGGTGCGGTGCTTTTCGAGGCCCGGCACAAACGTCGCCAGCAGCCATTGCGAGCTCCGTGGGCAGACGAGGCTGTGATGCGTTGCTACTGGCGTTGTTACCGGCGTTGCTGGTCTCTGCGAAGCATCTCGGGGCTGCGGCCTCGGAAACACATTGTTGCGCAGAGTTGTCGCGGCTGATGATCGGGTCGACAGCACCGCACCGCAGAAAGAGCCGTCCACTCGCCCGGGGAGTTTCATGGGCTCCTCCTCATGATGTTGTGGAGTTGATGAGGTTTTGCTGGTAGGCCGAAAAAAGCAATGGGAAATCGAGATAATTGCAAGTGGGGGCCTGAGGTTGGGCTTGGTGGGATGTGTGTGCAGCTCCAGCCAATGAGGGGCGAGGCAAATGTGTACACAGGTTCATGTAGCTGGGTGCGAATATCGTCAATTCGCACAGTACATGTATTCATGTTAGGTTTCGATGAATTATTCATTCAGGATGATACAACGGAGAAACATTGTCATGTAAATCTTGTAAATAACATGGTTTGTATAATAAGCTCATTGAAAGTCTGGCCAAAACCCTGCCATATTCACACAGGTGTCACCAAACGTGTTGGGCCTCGACAAGTTCATCATTGGCGATAATTGGATGTAGAAGCATTCATTAATGATGTACTACCTTATAAATTAAACAGAATGTACATGATCAACTCATCATTACTCTAATTCAACCCCTAGTATGTTCATATACACTCATCCATCATCATATGCACAATCATTCAGCAGTCGAGTTTGATGGCGCCGGGCTATACAGCTGCTGGCCATCCTTCTTGAACCCGACAATCACAGCCTGTCCTCTCTTCCCAACCACCCATTTGGCAAAGTCACTGGCCACCTTTGGATGAGGAGCCTTCTTTCCGACCAAAATATGGGCAGGGTTCAGAAGAGGATCGTCAGCACTGTCCGAGCCGGCCTTGTAAATGACCGTCTGGTTGCGCAGCTTGGCATCCAGAGACAGGTAAGTGCCACGGTCAGTGATAGTGTATTCATTCAGCAGAATGGCAGCTGTGAGGGCCTGGATGGGGAAAGCAATGTATTGGTGATACCAGGTAGAGTAAGCAGTCGCCCAAGGGACCTAGAGAAGAGGATAGTTAGTTACAATTGACTAGGACAATGAAAATTGAGTATAACACTTAGACGTACCTGGCCAATGCTAGCCCACAGCAGGGTGTCCTTAATGTTAGTAGCAGACTTGTCGTAACGGCTCAAGAACCGCACAGGCGGTGTAGTCACTTCATTCTCGGCAACCTGTCTGATCTGAGAAAACATGGTGTAAATGTCCGTCGACTTGGAGATATTGGCAGGGTTGAATATAGGACCGGCCAGTATAAAGTGGTCCCGGAAAGCATAGTAGCTAGGAGAAATAGCGATGCCTTGGTCAATGGCAATCTTCTCCGCAGCCGGGTTGTATGTGATGCCAACGTCGATGAGGCCAGACTGGAGATACTGGATGCTGTAGGTGGTGTCGCTGGTGTACCAGGCGACTCTGAAGGGCTTGGTGCCGTTGGAGACGGAATCTTTAATGTATGCATCTGCGAGAGCTGTTGGCAGCAAGACGTGTTAGATCTCCATTGACAAGAGATGTGATTATCCTTTCATAGTTTGCATTTACATACCTTTGATCAGACCACTCTGACCGGCACCGCCATTGCCGATGGCAAGCTGGATTGTCCCATTGTTCCCCTTGATGCCTCCATCATAAATAGCATTAGGATCAATGGCAGCAGAAGGCGCCGCAACAGCCAAAGCCACAACGGCTGCAAGCTTGCACAGATGAACCATCTCGATGCCTTATCCTCTTAATTGTAAGAATTGAAAGAGCAACTGTTCTGCCAACAACATTCCCAAGCAAAACAACGAGGCAACCGCTCTTTATATCCAGCCCTTCACTAAGGAGACAAACGCTCAACATGTCTCAAATTCCTCATCGCCCATATCCAGCGCTTGCTACTCTTGCCAGGGTTCGACCTCAGCTGGATGCTTAACGGCACTTCTAGCTTCTTTGATCGTGTAGCCCCACCGCGATGTGAGCTGTAATTGATGAATCTGGCCGGGATGGAATGTGCAAGATCGGCCATCTTGATAATTAATGGTTAGCGCTGATGAGCTAGATGAGCAAGCTTGTTTTTTTCGGGGTCCAAACTGGGACACGGCAGTGAGTCTTCGTGATGCTACTGGCGACACGTACGGGGGAGCATGACGCATGTCTCAGTTCAATGTTTTGGGTCTCGCCATGGAGGCTGTTTACGGGAAGTTATCCCCATTGTCTGTTTGTACGGTCAACAATGAAAAAAAAGGTGAGATGGCGTGACGGTTGTCATAAGTAACATTACTCGATGTCAAGTACAGGCACCGTATCCAAGATTGATGAGCTTTATGGGATGCATGATTGGCTTTTCTAGATCTATGGGCGAGACCGTGATAAGATTCACTGATAAGCTCATAGACGATCTTTAATCTAGATAGGTTATTTCGCTAGAGGAAATCTACCGAGAGTCAGGGGCACCAAAAAAGTCTTGGGCCATACGGGGATAGTGTGTATTTTATTTTATGGTGGTCCGGGCAATCCGACGAACTCCAACTCCTCATTTCAATAGTTTGGCTATTCCGAGGGTTCCATGCTTCTTTTCCTGTTCTTGTTCGATTTTTTATTCTCAAAATGCTGTAAGTGGCTCTGCTTAGGGCTATTCGTTTAGTGACGGACAGTATTGGTGTTGTCCGTCCGTCGCAGAGCGGTTAGTGAGACTCGGTGATTAAAGCTCACAGCACATGTCCATAATCGAATAGCTGGACAACAATTGACATACTCTTAAATGGAGACTTTATGATATATATGCAACCGCTGTGCGGATTTACATTGTACATTAATCCTCATATGAGTATAGGTAGAGAAAGCGGTAAGATAAATTTCATTATACTGCTCTGCTTTGCTCTAGGGTATCACGTACGGCAATGCGTCTATGGATAGCAGTGAGATAGCATCTACATGTACTCGGTAGATTCGCGCTGCCGATTTATGTACATGTAAGTACTCATCGAGGAGACCCTCGCCATGTCGGTGTAAATTCGTGCCGTTGTCGTATCATTGATCCCTGCCGAGGGAGCCGAGTAAGAATGTCCTGGGAGTAATACTGCATGCATTCAGCTTGGCACTTACAATTGCAGCATCAAATTACATGTAGGCAAAGACACCACTAAGCAAGCAAGCAAAAACGTGGGAGCCAAATTCAATTGCATCCACCTCGCCATGGCGTTATGCTCAGCCCAATCTTGAGACAACCGCTCGCCCTGCTTGAACGCTGCCAAACGCCGCTTTCAGCAAAAGCATCCATTCGCAAATAACTCTTACCCCGTATTCCGTGCTAGCAAAAAAGAAGAACAAACCCCGTCATACTCCAAAATCGTGGGGGGATTCCGGGTCTCCTTCTTGTGGGCAGCGCTCTGATTGGCCTGCATGTCATTGGTACCCTTGGCTTTCACATGTCAGCAAGCCATTCTCGACGCCTCCAACCGTCGTCACGAGGACGTACAGCGTTGCCCCCAAGGCCGAGAATCCTACCGAAAATCGGATTTTGGGCATGACATGTGCCTGTCACAAGCCTGCTCCTGCTCCAATCCCGCTTCTCTCGTAATCGGAACTCTCCCATGTTTCCTTTTGTAATCTCCATTATCCCTGGACACGCTCTTACATCAATACTACACACTACACCATTGCCTGCTGTCAAGAACTTGGGTATCGCCACCTCCGACCGACACACGGACGTTTTCGAAAGCGTCGGCCTCTAGTCGTTGGATTCAGCTCTGGATTGGCTGGATGTTTGGGTTCTTTTTCGGATTCCCTTTCTTTTCCTAATTCTCTTTTCACGAACCCGACCGACCGCCGTATCCGATGAAAGCCGCCCATCTGCAAGACGAGACGACATCCAGCGAAGCGAATCAGCGTGCTCCCTTGACGAATACCTTCAAAGCCTCGACAAACAATTGAAGACTCGAGTGTCGAATGAAATGATCCGCCATTGCACGCACGATCCAATACTACTCATAATAGGCCCGTCGCATCGAGCCTAGACGCACATAACCCATGTATTATTACACTTGACGTTACACACCCGCATATAGATCAAAATACCCTCGCGGTCTCTGTTTATTGCGCTCTTGATTTTGCTTGCTTTCTTTTCTTTCAACCTGCATCATGATAGACCACGTCCTTGGACGGCCATCGTCCAAGTCAAGGCGTCTACAAGTCCTGGCCGTATTGTCGTTTTGGACGTTTTACCTCTACAAGTACGTCTCTTGCCCTTATTGATAGATATGACCATCTCTGACTGGAACAACAGAGGCCACAAACATGGCCCATCGTTTGCACAAAAGATATCCAAATTCTTCTCTCGACGCTTGACAGCATGGCAGACAGTCATCATCACCATGCTCTACCTTTACGCCGCCCGCAACTTCAGTGCACTCGTCGGCCTGGCTAGTCCAGAGCCCATGGCTAACATGTATGATCCCACCTACTATCGGGCGACTTGGATCTTGACTGCGTTGGACGCCGGATTCTGGACTGCCATGAAGATTCGATCCAAGTGGTTGCGTGACCTTGCTAGCATCGTCTTTTCTTTATACTATGTCGTCGCCGCCGAAAAGGCAGACGAAAAGGTCCGCAAGGTTCGTGGAATGATTACGGTTGAGCACCTGCGAGTTGCCTGGAACAAGGGAACAACTCCTTACTTGGGCTTCTTGCAACGTCTTGTGCGACCACGATTCACACGATGGCCGCCGAGACAAGTCCGTATCCCGCGACCTACCAACAGTGATTACAAAGAAGCCGTTTCTGCCTGGCTTTACTACGACGGCCCGCTTGCCGATCTGGAGCACCACAACAAGCTCGTCTTGGACGTACCTGGCGGCGGGTTCGTAGCCATGGATCCTCGATGCAATGACGACAAGCTGTTTGCCTGGGCTTCAAAGACTGGGCTGCCCATTCTCAGCATCGACTACAAAAAGGCACCCGAATATCCGTACCCTTTCGCTCTGAACGAGTGCTTCGACGTCTATGTAACACTCGTCAAGTCCCGGGGTAGATGCATCGGCATGTCCGGCAAAGAGATTCCCAAAATCGTCATTACCGGAGACAGCGCAGGCGGAAACCTAGCTGTTGCAACGACACTAATGGTGCTCGAGACTGGAATCAGCCACTTCCGGCGCTCTTCAGGCGTTGGCAAGCTGCCGCCTCCGGACGGCCTCGTCTGCTTCTATCCTACGCTGGACATGAATATTGGAAACTGGATGTCGGATGAGCAAATGTCGCTTATTCGAGACAGGAGGATGAGGAAGACGAATAAATCCATCATGAAGAGGAAGAGCATGCAATACAACGACCTCGTGGGAACACCGCATCACTCTGATGATGAGGACGGGACACCTCCGCTGAAACAACCTACCGATTCCCCTGCTAACATGAATGGTGGATCGCGACCTGAGTATTGTCATGCTGGCCCCAAATCACTCAGTACTTCTCAGAGCCCCGATGAGAAAAAGGAGGGAGCGGTCTCTCATCGCGCAGAGCCCATGAAGACTCGCTTGGCGACGTCATCTATGATATCCTACTTCAACGACCGGGTCCTCACCCCCGAGATGATGCGAGCCATGATCATCCTATACATCGGCGCGCACAACCGCCCCGACTTTACGCAGGATTATTTCCTAAGCCCAGTCCTCGCTCCTGAAGAGCTGCTCGAGAACTTCCCCAAGACTTATTTCATGACTGGAGAGCGAGATCCCCTGGTCGACGACACCGTCGTCTTCGCAGGGCGTCTGCGGCGGGCAAAGGAGGCGGCAGCGCGACGACAACTCTCCCGGTCGTCCGTTGTAGATGAGAACTGGGCGTTTGACGATAAGGAGGTCACAGAGGTGCTTCTCATCCCCGGAACTTCCCACGGCTTCATGCAGTTCCCAGGCGTCTACCCGCCCGCATGGAAGCACTTTGACCGCAGCGCAGCCTGGTTCGACCAGCTCTTCCTCGACGCCGAGACGCAACGCGCAGAACAAGCCAGACGAGCAGCTCCCCCCAAGACACACACGACAAACGGCGACTTTCGACGCCAATCCGTTGCCGAGTCCAGCGGCGACGAGGACCGGCCCCTGGAAATCAGCATGACCAAGCTGTCTCGCGGACGGACCTTGACGCAGCAGAACGGGGACACAAATGGCCACACAAACGGCGACACGACAACAGAGTCGAGCTCGCCGACTATCAACGGGGAGAAGAACGGGAACGGCAGGAAGCCCAAGAAGGGGCTTCGGGGAAACAAGAGCCTGGTCAAGCTGACGAGCTCGGATGACTTGCTGGGACGCAGGATGCACGGGCTTGCGAGTGGGTTGACGAGCACGGGCGATAATGAATAAGAAGTAGCATGATTGGGAGCTGAAACAGGAGAGAAAGGGATGGTTCTTTTGTTTATTGTTTATTGGACTTTTTGTGAATTATAGAGCGCGCAAGCCCATCGACGTTTGTACATGTACCAATCATATTCTGTTTACATGTAATTTTACGTGGTTTATATGACAGACTACGAGTCATAGTGGCTTTAACAGAAGCCAACATCTGAAAAAAAAGCACCTGTTGCCAGCAAACGGCCAAGAATCGCAGCCCGTTCATTTCATCTATAGCCTGCTGAACGTGAATAAGAATAAGAAAAGGAGCTTCTGGAATGCAATGTCAGATGCCTTGTGGTGTGCTTCGTAACCCGTGTTTCCCCTTTCGGATGACGAGGCTATGCTGTTAAACACCACTACTGAAATTACCAGGCTCTTATTCGCGCTCCCCGGATATGCCTCATGCGGTGTTTTTTACAGCTCGCCGGGCATCAATAAAGGAGAAAAAAGTAAGGAGACACGATCCGCGGCCTACGAGTAATACAGCATGGGCATTAAGTACAGCCAAGTATCTGCACTTTTCAATGGGCTCCGTTTGTCTAAATCGGCAAAATCCCCGACTCGTACACCGAAAACAAGGCGAAGCAACAGAAACATGCCACGTAAACCCGCCCTAGATAAAGGAGAAGTACGAATAACGAAAGAAAAAAAGTTCTCGCAGTGTATCTTATTTGTCGAGGTTCTCGATCTGCATCTTTCTGTCTGAACGGCGCCCAGCGCCACGGTGGAGGCCGCCACAAAAGCTTTTTGCAAGGCCGGGTCGCTGGCACATGTAATGGGATCGGCCGCTGCCAAGCTGTGACGAAAGCGACATCATCTATTTGTTTGGCAACTGGGGACTTTTAGCCGTCAGATCCGATGAAGCGCTAGTGGAGAACACTTGCTTGGAAGCATCGGCATAAGAGCAAGCAAGCAGTTCTAGGAGGTGTTCACTAGCACTAGCTTGCAGGATAGAGGGGGAGGGGCAGCCATAAGCAAGGATTGGGAAGAAGAACGACTGGAAGATGACATCGAAGACTGAAAGAGGGGCAGGGCAGAAAACAGGAGCTGGGCTGTGAAATCCCATCGCCCCGTGTGTGTTAAGTTACACGTAGTTACGAGACTGAAAGAGAAGGAAAACTCGCGTTGATTAACGTAGTTGGACACTGAGAAGGGAGAGAGGCTTGTCCTAGATGAAGTCAAGCGTCTAACATTACAAGATGTGACAAAGCTCCAGCAACCCCCGCCAACTTTGCTGCCATTGGGAGCTTTCCCGGAGCTTCAGCTCGCTCTCGAATAGCTTCCCGTGGCTTGAGGGGCCTCCATGGCCCGGAGATGGCGGCCGGCCATTGGTGATCCGTCCTGCATCGACTAGTTGGTTAAGGGAAAAGGACGTTTTGCAACAGACGCAGGAGATAGGTCAGGAGACGAGACGAGCCCCCCCCCCCCGTGGATGCTTGCTTTTGTTCCAAGTACAGGTACCCTCTGGGAACCCCTCATCATGACATGCCGGGCAGATGTATGGCGTAGTTGACGGGCCTCGTGTTGCTCTGGGAACATAGAAATAGTACCCGCTCGCAGCCCAATCGCCCGGATCGTCGTCATCTTGCGAGCTGCCCTTATATATTTCCCTCTCCCATTCATTTTTCAATTTTTGAATTGCTTCTTCGTCTTTTTCTATTCTCATCCTCACCACTCTGATATTCCAATCCAATCAATCAATTCGTCCATCATGGTCCACCTCAGCGCCATCAGCCGATCCGGCTCGGTCACGCCCTCCAGCCAAGAAGCCGCCGGCGCCCCCTCGCTCTCCGTGGAAGGAAAGCCTCTGCACAAGAGCCTCTCGCAGGTCAAGCTGTCTAGCTATGCCGACGAGTTCACCACCAGCGTCTACGGCTCGCAATTCGCCGGCCAGGACCTGCCCAAGCACTGCATACCCAGCGGCGCCATGCCCAAGGACGTTGCGTACCACATGATCAAGGACCATCTCAGCTTGGACAACAACCCCAAGCTCAAGTAAGCTGTCTTATACGAGAATTGAGACGAGAAGAATGATATCTAATTGATGGCTTTGATTGACAGCTTGGCTTCCTTTGTTACGACTTACATGGTGCGTTTCTATTCAAACTCTCCAACCATTGCACCTCATATGCATAGCTTGACCCAGGTCTAACATTTGATCCCCAATCCAGGAAGAAGAAGCCGAAAAGCTCATGACCGAGGCCTTCTCCAAAAACTTCATCGACTACGAGGAATACCCCCAGTCCGCCGACATCCAGAGCCGCTGCGTCAACATGATCGGCGAGCTCTTCCACGCCCCCGCCGGCGGCGACAGCCTCGGCACCTCGTGCATCGGCTCCTCCGAGGCCATCATGCTCGGCGTCCTGGCCATGAAGCGCCGCTGGAAGCTGCGCCGCCAGGCCGAGGGCAAGCCCACCGACCGGCCCAACATCATCATGTCGTCCGCCGTCCAGGTCTGCTGGGAAAAGGCCGCGAGGTACTTTGAGGTCGAGGAGAAGTACGTGTTCTGCACGGCGGACCGGTACACGATTGATCCCCAGGAGGCCGTGGACTTGGTTGACGAGAACACGATTGGTATTGCTTGTATCTTGGGAACTACTTACACAGGACACTACGAGGATGTCAAGGGAATCAATGACCTGCTGGTTGAGAAGAATCTGGATGTGCCGATTCACGTAGATGCTGCCAGTGGCGGCTTTGTTGCGCCGTTTGTTCTGCCGGACCTGGAGTGGGATTTCAGACTGCCCAAGGTTGTGTCCATCAACGTCTCTGGCCACAAGGTATGCATCTTCTGCTCTTCGTTTCCCCTGCCCCCCTTCTCTCTCTTCTCATTCTAATCAACAAAACCACACCAGTATGGCCTCGTCTACCCCGGTGTTGGCTGGGTCGTCTGGCGCTCGCACGAGTACCTCCCCCAGGACCTCATCTTCAACATCAACTACCTCGGCGCCGAGCAGTCCTCCTTCACCCTCAACTTCTCCAAGGGCGCCTCCCAGGTCATCGGCCAGTACTACCAGTTCATCCGCCTCGGCAAGAAGGGCTACGAGTCCATCATGAGCAACCTCACCCGCACCGCCGACTACCTGACCGAGGTCCTCGAGCGCGACGGCTTCGTCATCATGTCCGAGCGCGCCGGCCAAGGCCTGCCCCTCGTGGCATTCCGCTTCAAGACCCCCGACGAAGGCGGCAAGGAGCGTCATTACGACGAGTTCGCCCTCGCTCATCATCTACGATCTAGGGGCTGGGTGGTTCCCGCGTACACCATGGCGCCGCACACGGAGCAGATGAAGATGCTGCGCGTGGTGGTGCGCGAGGACTTTTCCAAGAGCCGCTGCGACTTGCTGATCCACGATATTAAGCTGTGCCTGGGCATGCTGGAGAACTCGGATGCCGAGACGATCAAGCGACAGGAGGCGTTCATCAGGGACCACATTGCGTCGCATGGCAAGAACAAGCATCAGAGCAGGCACCACGCCTCGAAGCACTACTCGGTAAGTACGAATAAAGGATATAATAGCTGTTTGAAAACTAACAGAGGTGTGTGTGTAAAGGGCGAGGGACACTCTTTGCAGGGGAAGACGGGGAAGACGCACGCCATCTGCTAATCTGGGAGGGAGAGACGTGCTTGGGATATATAAGAAAGGAAAAAAAGAACAAAAAATGATGGAATAGGGGGGGAACAGTAAATACCACAACCTACTTCTGATGAAAAGAATGATCTTAGCCGTAGTCTATTTAACATCTTATGGGTGATGTTGCCGGGCCACTCTAGTCTTTGACCATGAGAGGTTGGAACGACGATATCCGTACTTTTTATATAGGACATACTCTTTTACTTTTTCTTCTTCTTCTCTCCGAACATTGATATGTAAATGTAACCATCGTGATGCTTTTCATATCTAACACTCAACACCTTTTATACATTTTTTGAAAACTCCCAACCAAACCAAGACCATACTGAAACCCGCCAGAACATTATACATATAAAAACCAAAAAAACCAGGGCTCATAAAACAAAGGGAGTTTCAACAACATTTCTCCCCACTACGACCGCGTAGCAACAATAGCCTCCTCCAAGATATCCAACCCATGGTTAATCTCCTCCTCCGTCATCACCAAGCTCGGCAAGAACCGCAACGTGTTCGTCCCCGCCGTAATCACCAACAACCCCCTCTCCCTCGCAGCAGTCACAATCTTCGTAGGATCCTCCGTCAGCTGCAGTCCCAGAATGAGTCCCTGGCCGCGGTGCTCCGTGATGAGCTCCGGGAACTTGGCCTGCAGCTTGGCGAAGCGGTCCGTGAAGATGCCGGACTTTGCCACCACGCTCTCCTGGAGCTCGGGCGACGAGAGCTTGGACACGACGTAGTGCGCCAGACGGCAGGCGAGCGGGTTGCCGCCAAAGGTGGTGCCGTGGTCGCCGAGCTTGATCTTTTCGGCGACGGCCTCGGTGACGAGGACCGCGGCGATGGGGAATCCGTTGCCGAGGGCCTTGGCCGTGGTCAGGATGTCTGGGTGAGCCTCCTTGGGAAGGCTGCCGTGAGCCCACAGCTTGCCAGTGCGGCCAAGACCAGACTGGATCTCATCGTAGATTAAGATAGCGCCAACTTCACGGCATCGCTTGGCGAGCGCCACCATAAACTCCTCGCTGCCGGCGTAGATGCCTCCCTCGCCCTGGATAGGCTCGACAATGACACCGCACGTCTTTTCGTTGACCAGGTCGTTGATGCCAGCGACGTCGTTGTACGTACCCTGCTTGAAACCAGGCACCATGGGCGCAAAGGGCTTCTGGTACTTGGGGTTGTGCGTCGCGGAGAGGGCGCCCATGGTGCGGCCGTGGAAGCCATGTTGGAACGACACAACGTCAACCTTTTCGCCGGACGGATCGACAATCTTGCCCACTTTCCTGGCGAACTTGATGGCAGCCTCGTTGGCCTCGGTGCCCGAGTTGCAGATGAAGACCTTTGATGCCTCGTGCATGCATCCCGCCTCGAGAGTCTTTTCGACGAGCAGCTTCGACAGCGCGCCGGTCCAGGGATTGTAGTACAGGTTCGAAGCATGGATCAGTGACTTGGCCTAGTTTTCACCCATCGTTAGCTCTTGTATCCCAGTATTCGACACATGGAGTATCCTCTGTACCTGCTGAGCAATGATGTCCGCAAACTCAGGATCGCTATGACCCAAACTCGTCACGGCAATTCCCGCCGTAAAATCAAGATACTTGCGATTCTCAACATCCCACAACCACGAACCCTCGCCCTGAACAAAGACAGGCGGCGGTCGCGCATATGTCGCGACCATGTACGGCGCGAATTCGTTGACGAGCGCCGCGCTGGGAGAATCTGGAGCGGGATCGGGGTTCGGCAGAGCTGCATCTCGCTGCAATCACTTTGTCAGCCAAATGTGAAATACCAAAGTAATAGCCAATCAATTGAAACGTTTCTTGCAAAAGCAATACATTTAATTGATCCCTTGGCCACAAGAAAAGATCACCAAACTCACCTTGATGCTCTGCTTCACTCTCGCAGACAAGCTCGCAACCGCCCTCGTCGTCGAAAACATCATGCGCCCGCCAGCGCCAGACCCCCTCGCCAAACCAGCCAGCGAAACCCTCAATGCCGCCATATTTTCCCAGACCCAGAAAAATAAAATAAAATACAGTTCGCAAAGTTGTACAAACCGCAATTCGCACCTCTTGTACGAAATGCAGGAATTGGGGAAACTTGGAATGACGCTGAAAGTTGCACTGCTTTTAAAGCTGGACTGGTGGTGGGGAGCGATATATAATTTCCTACACGCCCTTGCGTTTGTTTTATCGATAAAGCTCCGCTATCGCTGGGCTTGGGCGAAATGTGCTCTGTGACGACACAAATTTTTTTTTTGCTTGGCTTGGATGCATGCAATTGAGTCATTCCATTTGTCTAAGCTGTTGGGTCGTCAATCGACGGAGCCATCGTATCTCCTATCTTGATCTCGGGCCAAGCCTGGGCGTGAGTCTTTTGTTCTGCAGAGGACCGCTATTTGCTCCATATATCGGGATTATAGTCTACTCCATACAAAGTCTCTTACTCCATACCAAGTGATATAGTCATCATCATCATTTACAGTCCAGTAACGGCATCACGAGTGAACAAGCAAAAAAAAGGATAAAACATATTTTTATGGGATTATCAATAGTAGAACCCAAAAAAATAAATACAGTCTCTACAAATACCGCCCAAACAAAACGCAACGAAGTCTTAGTATGCAACCAGAACGCCGCCTTGCCAAAAACTGACAAGGGGATTAGGAAAAAGAAAATCAAGTACCAAGAACCCCAAGCATTGTGCATTGTATAACCCTTGTTCGCAGCCATCGCGTCGTGTCCCACCTATCCCATCCCATTCCACCCCTGGGGCCGTGAAAATGAGTTCTTTTTGTTATCGCTCAGACAGCGCTATAGCCTCCGCGACTGCCAGCGCCCTGGACGGTGTTGAGCACCCGGCGCGTCCAGTCCTTGAGGAGGTAGGGGATGTCGCGCAGGGTGTCGCCGTGGGGGAGGAGATCCCAGCCTCGTGCGCCGTAACGGTTGTAGTTGAGCCAAGAGCCAAAGATCAAGTATGCCGCAATGCCAAGGAAGACGCTGCAGAGAGGGAGAGGAACCGTTAGTCAAAATCGTCAGATCCGCATGGAGCAGTTTGCGTTGCACTTACATAATAACAAACCAAGTAAAGAAGCCCCAGCTTGCGCTTGAGTCGCTGGGTTCTTTGTCCTCATCCTTGCCGCCATCACGCTTCTCGCATGCATGCTTGGTGTACCAAGTCAGCCGCAACACGTCGGCATCCTTCTCCTTAGCATAGTCCTCCCAGATGAGAGCAGCGTTCTCGTTCTTCAGCTGGTGCTCGATGGCCGAGTCCTGCTTCCCATCATCGTCCTTGTCCTTGTCGCCATCCTCTCCGCTCTTATCATCATCCTTCTCCTTTTTGTCTCCTTTGTCATCCTCTGCTCGTCGTCTTGTCGAAGGAGCCTTCTCGTACTCATCCTCAGAAGCCCACTCGCCTTCAGTGCCAGTCTTTTCCGGGTCACACAGGAACTCGATGACGGCCTTTTGGGTCCTTCGCTCGGAGACGGGCCCGGTGAGAGGGTGTTTACCGCCCTTGAGGACCAGTCGAAGGCCCTCTTTCTGAGAGTCCGAGTTTGAGTCGCTGTTCTTGAGCCTTGTCGCCTCGTATTCGAATTGCGATCCGCCAGCGTTTTCAAGCCCACCCGCAATAGCAACGACTTTTGTGACGGAGTCTTGGTCGTCCTTGAGGAACCGGGTAATGGCACAGACTGCGAGCTTTGGTTAGGACATTCCGAAAGCGAAGATGATCAAGTAACAAAGAAAGGTAAGATGGCCCTCACCTCTTGTTCCGTTGGGACACTCCTCCTTTGACTTTGCCTTTCCGCTCTTCTTCAGGGGCTGGCAAATATCCACCGTATACGTAGTGTTGGAGTGAGCTCCCGTGCTAGATTCGAATCGCGACGTCACCACCGAGTGCGGTCCTCCAAGCGGCGACAGATCAAAGTTGTGCCCGTCCACCAGGATCTTGTTGCAGCTCAGCATCGTCGCTGCGTGCACCGGCGCCGCCAGAAGCAGCGACAGCAGCAGCGCTGACGACCGAGGAGGCTGCATCGTGACGAAAAGGGCCAAAAGTATCGTGAGGAGAAGGAGCAAAAATTAAAGGCGGCGAGTCGGAGGGGAGAGAGACAACAGGGGAGGCGATGGGGTCAAAGAGGCAGATACAGATAATGCTCAACAGAGACACTCCCCCGCAAAAAGAAAACAGGTAAAGACGGAACCGACAGCGATGCTCAAGTTCCGGCAGAGGCGGTGATCAGGCACAGGCTGCAAAAAGAATGGCTGCTTGAAAGGATGCACAGGATGTGCTTCAGCCTGGAATCACGTCAAGCTTTCGCGCAAAGCAAATGGGGCTAAGCTGGACTGGACGCTTGGATATGCTTGACGTGACGCTCCGTCATTGCTTTGGGGACCTCCCCGAACAGGCCGGGGGCACGTGACAACCGCCGTTTCGGGGCTGGACGATGATTTTCGGTTCTTTATAAGCGGTGTGCAGCAGATTTCGGCGGGAAAAAGGGGGTTACAATCGCGGGCATTGATAGTCCGTAGAGTGGGATAATACAGGGGATAGAGGATATAGTACCCGAGCTATTGATATTCTTCCAAGTTATTTAGGTATGAGTTGTGAGCACAGAGTGTTTTGGGCAATGGAATCAAGACATCACCTTAGCATGAAATAGCAGCACTACTAGATAGGTACCTGTTCTAACGTAATAGCAGATGCACGTTCTGTATGTAGGTACAAAGCTATCCGACCATTCTACTGCGCACTACTGCACCAACAAGAGGTACACAATGCATCGCTGCATTAGGTGTAGTACCTGGACTGAGGTACCCAACCATAGATTGATTCCATCTCAGCAAACCAAAGCACACTACCATGTCAACACTTCGTCACCATAAGGTACACAGAAAATAGTCAAACTCTTCATTTATTGCAATACGCAAAGTTTCTGCTGCTCTGAAAACTGGTAATATACAAGCATGTCAACTCCATTACCTCCACCAATCCTAGTGAACCACCCCCCTTCCAACGCCAGTTGCCGAGCGGCTTCGTTAGATTCATACTCGTATGAGCCAGTCCAAAAGCCGACATATAATGCCCCGTTCTCCTCGAAGCACAAAAAGAAGCAAAAATAATAATAATAAAAGAAGAAAAACAAAACTTCAAAGCAAGCTCATTGTGGTTAACCTGCCACCACAGAAAGCATCATTCCATAGGGTATTAAAACATTGTTGCCCAAACGCGGTAAAATCCTGACGTTGCCGAAATTTGTAACCAGCCTTCCTGAACTCCGTGTGTGAAAAAGACATGTATGTCAACAGCCGTCATTTCCTTTCTTTGGCATCGCCCATGTTCCAAGACGCTCATTCCCAGGTGTTTCTTGGACTGGAGCTGGCGTGCTTCTTCCCTTCTTTTTCGTTTGCCCACATCTCTTCTCGTATTTACATTCCTTGATGCCCCATCATACCGCCCATGCCCTGCATTGCTGCCTGCTGCTGCTGCTGTTGCTGCTGCATCATAATCTGTTGTTGCTGTTGCGCCTGGGCTCTCCGCTGAACCAAGTCTCTCACTGATTGTTGGGCTTGCGCATAGGATTGCTGCTTGATTTTGTCCACCGTATCCTGTGGTATGTTTTCAGGACCGCCGAATTTAGCTGCCGCCACTCCCATCAGGCGATTGTAGACAAGGCGGGCATGGGCCTGCATTTGCACTTGTAAGGTAGCGTTGCCATGTGCTTGCTGAGGTCCTTGCCCTTGATGCTGTGCTTGCGCCTGTGCCTGCGCCTGCGCCTGAGCTTGTGCTTGAGCCTGAGCGTGTGCTTGCTGGGCTTGAGCCTGAGCGTGTGCCTGGGCTTGAGCTTGAGCCTGGGCTTGAGCTTGTTGGGCCTGCGCGTGAGCCTGTGCCTGGGCTTGGGCTTGGGCTTGGGCCTGTGCCTGCTGCTGCTGCTGCTGCTGCTGTTGCTGCTGCTGCATTTGCATGGCGACTATGGCTTGCATGTTGTTGGCATTGACATTGACATTACCATTCATCATCTGCCCATTCATCTGGCCTCGCATCATGTTTCCTAGCTGTCCATTCATCTGGCCCATTCGCGCCATATGCTGAATTTGAGCCTGCATTTGTGGTGTCATCTGGCGTATCTGAGCACCTTGCATGTTCTGCAGCTGTTGAGCGTATTGTTGAGCCCACTGTTGCTGTGCCTGCTGCTGCTGTTGCTGCTGCTGTTGCTGCTGCTGTTGCTGCTGTGGGTTCATCTGCTGTTGCTGTTGCTGTTGTTGCTGTTGCTGTTGCTGTTGCTGTGCCGCCTGCTGCTGCTGCAGCATCATTTGCCGTTGCATCATTTGCATCATTTGCTGTTGCTGTTGAGGAGTCATGCCTGCGCCTTGTGAAGCAATGTTAACACCATTAAAGGTACCATTCTGCAGAGCGGCGGCCACCATCTGCTGTTGCTGTTGCTGCTGCTGCTGCAACATGGCTCGTTGTTGGGCTTGCTGCATCTGGGCCATAACTTGAGGGTTGGCCTGGTTCATAACTTGGCCGTTCATCATCATCTGCTGGCCCATCTGAGAGTTCTGGGCCATCATAGCAGGAGGAGGACTCGCTTGGGTCATGCGGGGAGTTGCAACCATTGTCGGCCGGTTAATAGGCGTGGCATGAGATATATTTGGCGTCGAGTGGGGCATACGAGGTGTGTTGGAGGGATGACTCTGCTGACTGTTTCTGTTGGACATGGCGTGCGATACTTGCGGGTTTTGTACAACAGAAGCAGGCCGAGGGGGGCTTGCTGCCATGCTGGAGTTGGTCTGCTGCATAGGGACGCTTCCCACCATCGGCGACGACATATTCTGGGGAGTACCCTGCCTGATGACAGGCGAGGACACTGGAGCCTGAGACATTTGGGCCTGGAAACGGGCCTGGGCTGGGCCAGGTATACTGTTTGGCATCGCGTTTTGCTGAACTGCCGGGGCGCCGTTTTGCATACCGTTGGCCACCACTCCGCCCTGAGCGGAGGGGTGAGCGTGCTGCGTCTGGTTCATTTGCGCTTGGTTGTTGTTGGCCTGCGCTACGGGAGTTGACGCTGCAGCACGAGCAGCCAGTGCCTGTCGCTGTGCTTCGGCTTGACGAAGCTGACTCTCCCTGGCCGCAGCCTCGCGTCGCGCCCTCTCTTGTTCCGCTTGCCTCTGGGCAGCGAGTTCTGCTGCCTGTTGTTGCTGTTGCTGTTGCCTCTGGAGCTGCAGTTTCCGGTCATTTTCAAGTTGCTTAAGCTTCTCCTGTTCCTTCTTTTCGGCATGCTCTCTCTTAATATCTTCAATGAGCTTAAAGCGTTCGAATCGAGGCTCAAAGGTAGCTGCGCCAGTTGCACCATCTCCATCTGCACCACCAGCGCCTTGGGCGCCGGTGGAGTTTGAGGCAAGCCGATCGTCCAGCACCAACATATAGCGTTCCAGCTCCGCAGCAGCAGCCTCGTCCGCGGCCATTTCGGCAACAGTCCTTTTGCGCGTCTTTGGTTTGGGCGGGTCCTCCTTGTGGCTGGGATGTGACCATTCTTCCAGCAGGGCAATGGTCTCCTCTGCGCTCTTGGTCGGCTCGAGCATTAGAGGTGCGTTGGTTGCGAGTAATACCTGGCCTTCGAAAGCATATAAGCCATTTCTATCCAGTTCATTCTTTTCTCGCTTCTGTTTCTTCGCAGGCGGCTGCATATTTGCCGTAGTCGGTGTCGGCGGCACCAGCGTTGAGGGGGTTGATGGAGGTGCCATGACCGAACTGTCATTAGTAGCACGGGCATCGCCATTGATTTTGGATGTGGAAGCTCTGAGCACGAGATCCATTTGTATACTCTCGGCCGTCGGGTGAAGGACGACAGTATAAATCTTTGGCTTCGCGGCAACTTTGCTTGATGTGTCCACAGGTACATTCGGGGTAGGCTCTTTATCAGCGTCCTTTTCATCGACATCTGCCTCTTTTGAAGCTTCTTCCTTTGGTTTCCCAGCCACTTCACCGGCGTTCTGCTCTTCCTTGGGGTATGGCACGTGGGGTGAAGGCGTAAGACACTGGTTGTAGTTGTGGATAGACGACGGTACAACAGCGCTGGAGGCGGATGAAGGTCGTTTGACGCCCTTGGCCTGGGCCACAGATTTGTGGTCGTGAATCTGTACAATGAGGCATCCCTCATAGAATGGCACGTTGCCTTCGATAAAGTAGGAGAGAAGATCGTGGGGAATCGTGCGGTTCTTCACATGGTCGAGAAACATCCTCATCGGCGACTTATACTGGAACATGCCGTCCTGACCATCGAAGCGGAAATGTGTGGGGTGCATATGGACGACCAGCGAGGGGGGTCGCCCCAAATGCTTCTTTAATACGTACGCATCGGTGACAACTGTAGATGGATGCCCTGTTAGAGTCACGCCAATATGGTGCCAACATGGGTCATGATATTACCATATGGTGGGGGTTCATAGCCATGAACCGCCATATCTGCTGCAAACGAAGCCGATCGCATTCCCGCGCTGTTTCTTGAATTGCGCCCGGCCGCCTGGTTGAGGGTATCGCGACGGATCCGGGCCATGGGCCGAACCGTTGAGGCCGTGATGGCCCGATCGCTGGCGGAATTAGGCGGCTGCTTCGCGCTGGGCGGCTTGTTGTTCGCCATGGACGGCGACGGCGACGAGGCTGACGAGGCAGCCCCGCTGGTCTGGATTCCTGGCGGCACCGGTCGCTTAATCTTGGTTGAGCCGTTCTGCTGCACCGCCGTGGTGGTGGCGGTTGCCGTGGCAGTGGTGACGTTGGTAGGTGCCATCGTGACGCCGGATGCACGACGGCGCGCGTGTTGCAGGACCTGAGACCCCGGCTTCTACCGCGCTTGCTGGGCGTGTCTCGCGGCGTCGATCGCAAGCATCTACTTGCGCCGCAATTGCAGTTCGGGATGACGAGACGTGAAGCTGGAGTCGCGGCGCGAGATTAGTGGGTTGTGGAGACGATTGCTCAGCGTGGATCCGGTGACCACGGCCGAACAGAGGCGCAAGAGGTCGAGATTAGCAGTGATCCATCAGTCGGTGATGGTTGAGCCGCTGGCGACGTCTAGCAGAAACGAGAGTATAGGGAGTAGTTGGATTCCGCCGGCGACTTGGCGATTGCGCATAAGGGACCATCTGAGGTGAAGTTGAGCAGACGTTGAACTGACTGACAAAGCCCGAGGCTCACCTATCACGTGACTCCGCCTCAACCCTTTTTAACCAACCACTCGCAAAGTATACGAGAGATGGGCGTTTTCACATGAGTACCTAGTAATACCAGTGCATGTACTAATATTCGTTTGTATTTGAATAAGGTAGCTTTGCAACGACAGCGTTTTCCTTGGAAGAAGAATCTCGGTTGAGGTTGAAATAGATCTGCGCGCCGCTATTGGCTATTGGGGCCAACTGCCTGCTGCATAAGGCACCTCCAGAATCAAAGCAACAGCAAAACAGCAAAATAGAAAAGAAAAAAAAAACATCAAGTCTCGAACTTTAAATCGGATGTATTTGAACCTTAAAACATGTGGCCTTGAGCCCTGAGCAGGTTCTATCCGTAATATGTGAGCCAAATCGGTAAAGCACGGTGTTTATAAACATGCCATGGGTAGATACAGGTACGTTACGATTGCGATATCCTCTTCATCTCCCCAACTAAGAGTAACTATAGCACTAAGTCGCACTGGTAAAAATAAGAGATCAAGTCCAAAAAATATGTATATACAAATTTACAAAATCAACGTCCTGGTATCTTCCCTTCCATTTCATTAATATCCTGATACGTACCGTCTAAGCCTCATTCCCGGCCCTGAACTCTTCGCGCCCAATCATCATTAACGCGCACGCTGTCGACAACAATGATGCCTCGTCCGCGACCGACGCGCTCGGGCTTCTGCCACCACTTCTCGACCTTGTCAGCTCTCTCGGCCTCGGATTCGCTATCAGCCAGACCGCCAGATCCGTCTTCGGCGCCCACAACAAGGACAATGTCGTGTCGAAGCCAGGTCTGGATGTTAGTGATGTAGCTACCGCTGTCGCCAGCAAGCGACTCCTGGAGGTAGATGATGTCGGGCTGCAGGTGGCGCAGGATGTGGGTGTGGCCGTTGGGGGTGGTGAAGGGAAGGATCATGGTCTCCTTGTCCACCAGAGCCAAGGCATGCGAGTACACGGCATTGAACAAGGTGTTTTCTGCCGTAGCGCCAAGACTAAACGAGAGCATAGCCATTAGCATTATCCCATAGATCAACATACACGTCGGTAAAGAAAGGGGGCTTACACTGGGCTTTTGGCCTCGGGAGTTTGAGCTTGATCATATCCAACGTTAGAGAATGACGAGCTAACCGAAGGAGGCGGGCGATTACTCGTAGCAGCATCAGCCGTGCTGTCCTTTAAGCCTGGTGCATAGATGAGGACAAAGAGCTTGATGGCAGACAGGTCATTGTGCTTGGGGATGTGGCTCAGGATGGACTATTTCAACTGGTTAGTAGCTGCGGGCGATGACGACAAGCAAAACAAAACAGGGGTTCACTCACGGCATGCTCATGAGCAATGTCATCGTCGTCGTCGGTAAAGTGAGAATCGGCAGAGATGACAATGGCGACCGTCTTGCGCTTCTTCAGGCTGGGCGCGGGTCCCTTTTCTCTCTTGAGCTCTCGTTCTTCAGGCCAGGCGCCCGTTTCGTGCTCGGGCCGGTCCTCTTCGCGGATCGAGGCCAGCGCCTTGCCGACAGCTGCGCCGGCGGCAGCGACTCCGGCGGCAACCGTCTTTCCAGCCGAGTCGAAGAAATGCTGCGGCTGCGACGTAAAGGCGCTCGCCGTTCGCGTTCCCCGTTGATTGCCCTCGGTCATCTCAGCGCCGGTCGCATAGCTGTCGCGTTGCGCATGCTCCGGCGGCGGCGCCAGTCTGCGGTTCTCGGCGCCATACGCCGGATTCTCTCCATAGTCGGCATTCTCGTAGTCCAAGTCGGGCTCTGCCTCAGCGTGGTCTTCAACAGTCTCCTTGCGCTGACTCCATACCCAAGCGGCGAGCCCGGCCGTAGCAACGGTCAGGGTGATGGCAAGAGGCACCCAATGGCTCCAGACGCCTCGCCTGCGGGAGGAGCCGTGATTGTCGTAAGGAGGCGACATTAGACGGAAGAGCGTGGCATCGCTTGCAAGTGCGGTCACGAACGGAACTGGCTACAAATGCCCAATCCGAGGGCGGTCGAGAGAGGCTGCAAAGATGCAAAACAAGATGCAAACAATGCCGCGGTTATACAAAATAATGCTCGTACTGAATAAACAAGCTTGGATCTTGTAAGTGCTGAGCTGAGTGGGGGAAGAGCTGAGCCCGGCTTAGTCGAAGGTGTGTCGCAACAAGTCGGTGGCTGGGGGTTCAGCTTGCTTCATGTCAACAATGTGGAGTTCTCTCTCCAGCAACGCGCCGCTCCCGAGGTTGCTGCGGCGGTGGAGCAATTTAAATCCCGCGCCACCGAGGCTGCGAGCGCGCACGTGAATGCCGTGCTCTGATTGGCTGATTTATTGATAGGATACCAGCCACATCTAGGAAGCTGCGCCACACATGCAAACTCTCTCTCAGCCTTGCCTTGTAGCTATGACTCTTCACTGCAAACTCGCAAGTGGGGGAGATTTTTAAAGATATTCATAACCCCGGTCAACTCTCCGTCTACAAGGCGACATCTGCATCTCACTATAACCTCACTCGACAGGCCCTTGTGAGGCATCCGTGACCGTCTCGAATATCTCGAATATCCCAGTCAACAAGCCGCCACAGCCTTTTATTCTGCGTGTCTGTCCGCCATCACAGACCCCTCCATCCAGGATGCCTCACGCCTTGTCGATGGCCTCAACCGGGCTTCAAGCCCTCATTCTGTGTGGGCCTGGCTCGTCATTCCCTACCTTTACCTCCAACCCAGATGAGAACCCAAAGGCTCTGTTACCCATTGCCAACCGCCCTATGGTGTGGTACCCTATCGACTTTTGTCTCCGTACCGGCATCACAAGTAAGCGCACCTCTGTTAATTCTCCAGCTCTAATATTTCCTGTTTGGGATTTGTCTCAGCAGTTGAGCTTCATTCTTTGTGCAACATCGATATCCATACCCAAATACTCCGTATCCCGCATATGCGGTCGTACTATTATGCTCCGACAAGGACCCCAAGTGATTCGGATCCAACGATGGCGGCTGACAACTCTTAGGCATAACTCTCATCTGTCCCCCATCAGCCTCAAAAGCATTGACAGCTGCTCTCAACACCAACCCCTATCTCACAGCTCTGCCATTGCCGCGGCCAGATGTCTTGGCTCCCGCTGATCTAGACCAAAACACGGGCACTGCTGAGATATTGCGGCTACCCGAGGTTAGAGAATTAGTAACTGGTGACTTTATCGTCTTGCCATGCGATCTCGTCTGCGAACTTGCTGGTGAGCAACTGCTCCAGGCCTGGATGGTGAAATCAGCCAGCCTTACGGATCTCCTCGGCGCCAAACAGTTGTCAAACGGCCACCAGACTCGATACAGCGGCGGTCTCGGTGTGTGGTACAACACAAAAGCCAGCGCGCCCGTCAAGGGCGAGGAGACGGATTTCATTGCTACAGCTCCTTTGCCGACTTCGCCCACCGTTCCTCCCAAAGGATCCATCTTCCCCAATGTGTCAAAACTGGTATACTCTATGCCCACAGATTCATTCAACGATCTTACAGAGGAGAGGAAGGCTATTCCCATCCGTCACGGACTAGTCAAGGCCAACCCCCGAGTTCGCATGTACACGACTCACAGAGATGCACACATCTACATCTTTCCCCGGTGGATCCTCGACTTCATCAAAAAGAATGAACGTCTGGAGAGCATTGGTGAAGATGTAGTGGGGTGGTGGGCCAAGGCGGGATGGCAATCTGGATTGGCCGAGAAGCTCTCTTTCAGTGAGGTCTGCCGCGCTGGCGACGACGACAGCGATGAAAACGAGTCTGAGCTGGAAGGCAGGTCATCACCGGCCGAGTCCGCCCCCGGCAACCAGGAAAATTCGAGGCAATCCATCTCCTCAATCAACATTGCCGTTGATGGTCAGTACAAAGGCGACAAGAATGGCTCCGCCTCAGCGGCATCAAAATTCGAACCCCCGTCTATCTTGGCCTACATTCATTCACAAAAAGACCAAGTTCCTGGTTCAATAGTTCGCCGTGTCGACACAGCACAGCTGCTGCTCGCCATTTCTCTTCAGCTAGCTAAACTTCCCTCCATCGAGGAGGATGCCGAGAACCACTCTCCATATGCTCACCCAAAGAAAGTCGCGTATCCCGAAGGCGTGAAGCCCCGCACCACCATCACCAAGCAGGACAGCTTGATTGCAGAAAATGTCACAGTTGAAGAGAAGACATCCATCAAGGAGACTGTCATTGGCGCCGGCTGCCAGATCAACGAAGGAGCCAAGTTGTCCCAGTGTCTTCTCATGGAAGGTGTCGTTATCGGAAAAGGATGCAAGCTTACAAGATGTATCCTGGGCAAACGGTGTATCGTTGGAGCGGGTTCCGTCCTCACAGACTGTGAGGTACAGGAGAACCTCATTGTTGAGCCTCGCAGTAAGTATTTCTCATTTTCTCCTTTCTCCTCTTATCTCTGACTACATTATCATTACTTCCATGTTTACTAATACGTTACTGCTATATAGCCGAGGACAAGGATAACAAGCTCATGAGCTCTGAAGGTCTGGAGGCGACCGAGGCGGAAATGGAGGAGGTCCTGCACGATATGGATGAAGAAGTCGCTGCTACGGGAGAGGATGTAGACATGGAATAGGCTATCTAAAAGTCGAATAGAAAAAAGTGAAATTACTTTGCTCGTGAAGGAGCATCTACGCATCTGATTCCCTATACATGATTAGAGCATCGCTAATGACCGGGGTGCCGTGTGTGAGGATATTACCAGCAACACAACACAAGTGATATATTCTACCCTACGTCTAATTCATTCAACTTGATATTTACTCTCCAAACCAGTGTCACTTTTAATAACAACAACAGCACAATTTCAGCAACATCCATTTACTCTGAAATCATCCATCATTCTCGTATGTAGCATGTTACAACCTCCACACCGACCTATCGACCTACCCTACAACCGCAACCTCGCAACCCCGCGCAATGACTTATCGCAACCACACTGAGACATGCATATCCCGCCAATCCAATCCAAGAGGAAATCACACCACTCTCAAACATTGCTCAACAGTAGTCCAAGTCCACCCAAGTCCAGCTGAAAATTCCAAGGCAGAGAGCCTGCCTGCAGTCATCGCTTATGTCGAAAAAACTGACAACGATCGCGGTGCTATCTGCCTTAGGCCTTGTTTTCTCTTCACAAGCGTCTTCTCTCTTCACTATTTTTCATAAGCGATCATGTCTTGCAATCCAATGGCAGACCAGCTCATCAGGCCACCCAGGAGTGACGATCGCTGCGCTAGCCCTATCCTTCTTTTTTTTTCTTTTCTTTCTCAAGTTAGACTCTCTATTTTTCATCCTTGGCCACCGCCACACCGCGTCCGTCCTTGTTGGCACTCAAACTTGCTTGCTGCAAGGGAATCAAAAAAAAGTCAAGCCACCCACCGATGCCACCTTTGATCGGCTTTCATTTGCCATTTAGAACCCGTCCATATTTTCGGCCAATGAGTAGCATGTAAAGCGCCTTGTGACCTTTTTTTCGTTGCCATTGCTTGCTTCCGTGTTCCATCTAGCTTGAGGGGGGCGCTCTGAGGACGAACGCGAGAGAGCCGAGCTGCTATGACGTCCCGACTCCAAGGGAGGGCTCTTGGCATAGACACGCTCATTTTGATAACCATTGTCACTACCGAAATCCCCCAGAAGTGTCATGTCAATACAGTTCGACCTGATCTGAAACCCCCATTGCCTGGAACACGGCCTGTGTGTGTGATGATAATGATTTGCCTCGCTTCCCCCCACACGAGAGATGCCTTTTGCATGTCAACCGAGGAGAAAAGTGTTGGGTTATCGGCGCTATCCCCATTGGAAGAGCACACCAAGATCTCGAGGGTTGGAAGGGGGGCAGAGGCTCACTCTTCGAAGCTGTCGCCCTCTCCCGGTACCTGGCAGTGTGTCTGCCTCGTGTGCTTAGATCATCCCTGAAGTAGCCGATTAGGTGCCCGAGGCATGGATCTATCATCGGCCGAGTGTGCTAGTAGAGCTGAACAGATTAGCATGACGGGAACTTTACAAACTCTGTCAGATATCATCTCTAGAAGATTGGTCGTAAATTGGGGTTAATAATAGGGCGTAGGTTTAACTCAGTAGCAACTCTTGGGAGTATTAGCAGTTGCGCCACGCTCATAGATGTCACTCGAGTTGACACACAGACGTATCTCCCGCTCACAAGATCCGTCTGCTGCCAACGCTGTTATCCAGAATATGCGCTCACTTCTCCATCCAGACTACCGAGGACTTGGCACCCGTATGGCCTTGTGATTCCAGTACCATGTTCTCGGCTCCGTTGGTCCTCCACTGCCCACCCCTGGATCAGAGATTGATCACCCTTGTTCCTAGCTAACGCTTGGACCTGATGCTTGGAACGCCCCCCCATGGCGTATATCAGCCTACCACGACTCCCAAAGCGAGTGATCCTTGGGACCAACGTCGCATTGCTAGTGCCCTTTCCAATGGGGTTGTAAATACCGGAGCAGCATGGCGTAGCCCTAACAGAGCGGCTACGATCATAGAAAGATCGCGGATATGCTGCCATCAGCCCCGGGCACACCCATCCAGCCCTTCTAGACACATCTTTGGTAATCTGCCCTGCCCGAGGTCGCCGAATATGTTCGGGATGGGGCATCCACCGCAAGTGGCGCTCCTTGATCTTCCCAAGTTTGATACATGTGCTCACGCACAGTCCACCCGCTTCTCTCGGAGCCGCGCCGGTATTCACCCGACAAATGGTAGGAATACGACGCTGCCAGTAAGCGACCGGGTATATACCTGCAGGTGATGTTTCCTTGGACGGGCCGAGACTGCGTGGTTTGTTTCTACACTGAAACGGAGAATTTCTTGTAAGAACCAACCAAGGGCATGACTAGCTCCAAGACCAGCGGCCAGGATTCACTCGGTCATGTCAAGACATTGGTTTATCCCGTGAGGTCACACCATCGACGATGGGAGAGCTTGATCTTTGGGAAATCCATGAGGGCTGTTATCATTAAGGTTAACATGAAAGCACAGCGGAGCAGCGCACGTCAAGGGACGGTCCGTATAGTGGAAACTCTGATTTTGGATATCCGCGTTGGCGGGATGTGGGAGGGTGGACGCAGCGTAAAGGCAGTAGTCATGACCTAACAAGAAGACGAGAGAACTGAATTATTCCCGCAAGCAGTGTGTGCCTGCGGAAGTACGTCCGCGTTCTCCAAGATCCTCCCCAAGCAAGATGGAGATGGGAGCGGGCCGGTAGACAGGGGTCAGAGGCTCGAGCGGGGGAAACAAAGGACCCCGATTGACGGGTCCCCAACATCCGAATTGGCCTGGAGGTTCTGGCCCGTTGTGGCGTGCGTTGCTATCAACATAGTAAAGCGACAAGTGACAGCAGCTTAATTGAGTGCGTTTCTTGACGTATACCTGGCGAGATGGAAAGGGTCGCTCTCCTTGGCACCTCATTCATCAGCACAGACTCAGCTCTGTTAGACCTGTCTGTTTCACCCGCCATCCCTCATCAACTGATACATCTTCAGCCAACAGGCAGAGACATACATGTTTAGTCGTGCAGGCACACTAACAGCGGAGGAGACAGACAAAAGCAAACACCGTCCAGATGTGGTGTGTTTTCCCGGATTGATAGATTCTTGTGATTAATTACAATCCGAGTTAGTTGACGAACACTAGCTCGAAGTGATAGATCATGTTCGGTTTGCCATGGCTCCTAGGACCTTTTGCTTGTCGTAGTCAACACTTGGAGAGTTCGAAGCGAAGAGCGGGAACAACTTGAGGCTCCGGCCGAGTATCCTTTGGTATGGAGTATCGCCGGCTTGCCTGGTTCGGGCTTGGTGCGGAGGGGGAAGAAGGGCCGACATATGCTTGGCTGGCCGGGTATAAGAGGGAAAAAAAAGAACAATGAGGTAAAAAGGGACCAAAATACGAGGTTCACCAAGAAAAAAGAAAAGAAAACACTTTCGCAGAAGCGAGTTGAGGCTGAGAATCGCCGTACAGGGTAAATCGCCACGGCCTCCGGGGTTCGATATGCAAAGAGAGCTGAACATCGCACATGTAGCGGGGCTTGACCAGGTATCTCTCGGGGCTGTGTGCCTGGATTGTGAGTTAAACCCGTTGGGTTTGGCATAAGTGCCGCAGCAAGTGATGTAACAAGGTGGTAGCAGCCAATAACTTCGCTGCCCTTGTGCCTTTCTTCCGGCCTATCGGCTTGGTGGTGATCCACGCGTGAAGCTAGGAATATGACATGTCGATTTCTCTCAGAGCGAGCTACCCACCAGCCAGGCTTCTGTCACTGAGATAACAAGACAGGATTTACAGAGGTGCATGTTGCAGCTCACTTCATTCTTTTTTGCCAGATTGGCAATATGATGCATTAGCCTTCTCCTGGGCGAATGTGAACTTGGTCTTGGCTGTCACACCGATGCTGCATGAACTAAGACATCCCCAACATCAGGATGCGCGACAGCTGTCGATTTGGAAAGAAAAAGAAAAAAAAAAAACCGACAGGTTGGTCATCGGCACTGCTGTGCTACCCATCAACCATCACCCAACAGCATCCCAAGTCTCTGGGATTTGGGTGTAGATGTATAGGCTGCGTCGTGTAACCTGAAGTGTTGCACCCCATGCAGTGTTCCTTACAGCCGACACGAGGAGATGGTAAAGCCTCATTCAACCAATGTCATTGCGGGTATTTCAAATATATCGTTCATATGGCCGTCCATGACATTCTAGTGGGGCCTTTGCTTGGTGTCTTGGAGCAGGTTGCGCGGCTGACATGCGGCAGCAGCTTGCTGGTGAACATACGGCATCCGGTGTGCTGTGTTGGAACAGCAATCTCTCCACGAGACTTCTCGGATCGTGCTGTGCTGTAGGTACAACAGCTACTACCACTTGGTACTAGGCATGATCCTATCCGGAGTACACGGAATCCGAATTAGATCAGCACTGACTGTACCTGGTTCGCGGGTGGCGGCATACTTTCTCAATTAGACTAGATGGACTCCGGACGTGGGATCGAATAGCCACTTGGTTAAGCGGACACGAAATAAGTGTATAGCGGGCTACCTCTCATTAAGCATGCATTATTCATGAAACGCCCGTTCTTTACCAGTGTCGTACCCCGCGTGAATAATGATGCTCAGAGTTGGTCGTGTTATCCCTTAGTCACTTTTGGGCCGCGTAGTACGCTCGCCCAGGACGAGCCATCGATTGACACGCGGCCTCTAAGTTGTTTGGTAGAGAGAAGTGCCATTGCTACTGCATGAGCTAGGCCAGCTGGAGTTAGAGCATATGAGCGGCCGATGCTCTGTTGCAGGACATTTCAGCCTAGCCAGCAGCTTTTGGACGGCGCGGCGGTGGGATTGAGTATCGGTATGGCGAGATCGAACCAAGCAGACGAAGTGCTCCGGAGAGATTGTGGCCCTTGCTCAGCGTCGAGCTACGGCAAAGATCCATGTCCCTGTAAGCGATGAAAGATCATATTCCCCCCTTTGGCTGCTAGAGGAGGAAACGAGCATGTACCCACTGAGTAGGATGTGGTATTAAGCTCACTGTCATCAGCTCGCATAAGTATTATGGCCGGCGTGGCGAGTTGCATCCAGCTTGAGTAGGGGTATCCTACACTTGTAGGTAGAGATTCAACTGCATCAGAATTAGGCAGCAGAGATCGAACACGCAGACAGAAATATGACACGTCAAAGGATCAGAGCACTTGAGTTGACATTTGGCGTGGTCCTCGCATGGCACTCGAAGCAAGCGAGCGCGTGGCATGACTGGGCTTCGTCCGCCGCACTCCATGCTCCGATGAGGCCAGTTCCTGCATACTCGTACATCTGCGTATCTCCGTGGAGTAGCTCGAATAAGCACCTTATTAGACATTGTTTTATAAAGGGATAGAGCTGGGGATAAACGGCGTGTGTGTGCTGGTAGTCCACCAAGGGAATGGTGTCGCCGCCGCCCTGCTTATTCCCTTGGGTATTAGCACATGTACTCACTGAAAGACACACATTGGTTTGGCCAGTAGATTAGATGTCAAACATGAGATATTACGTTACTCAGGCCATAAGCCAGGGATAAGCAGCGCAGCGAATCACCGCGAGCAACGGTCCCAGATAATAGCGGCCTCCCTTGAAGTCTGGACGCGGCTTGTACTGTAGCCGATCCTGTTTTTGGCCGGCGAATTTGCGAGAGAACTCATCTGCATTAGCCTGTGACGACAGACCTTGGCCCATCTGGGGCACTTGGCTGCGCGTGAAATGTGAAATGTAGGGCGACTGTGGTCTGCAGAAGTGAACACACTGCAGTGAGGCCATCTCCGCATGTTGTAACGGTAGCGTTGTATCGAGGGTTGCTGACACACCGAATACATCCCCGATAGCTGCATAACGGCATAACGGCACTGCGGCTTCTCCGCTCACCGATTTGCTTGCTAGTGACATCACGTACCAAATGCAAATGCCCAGCATTAATTGCGAATCACTTGACGCCTCATGCCGAGATACGAGTAATAGAATTGCCATGTCAAGCCACGCCTTATCAGCCATCAAAGCCCTAGCGGATAACTGCCCCTGACTTGTCACGGCGCGGCTCCCTCGGCCCTAAGAACGATGGACGGGTTCGTCATGAGCTAATCGCAGGGACCCGTGAACTCTATCTCTAGTGCGCGTCCGGCCCTCTTGGGTCCCTCTTGGGTGGATGCTGATGGTCTGAGCCATCACGGTGCACCAGAGGAGGCGAGCGCCGGGCGAAAAGCTGGGGCCACCTCGTACCTGACTGGCGACGGCCTCAAGAGTGGACGAGAGTGGACTCTGGCCTCGATTTTGGCCTGTGACTTGCCCTGATGAAGAGGGCTGGATGTGTCAGACCTGCGTGAACAAGCGCCAAACTCTATCCTTTGCTCTTTTCCCTGATCTGATTCTGCTGCACGCTTTCCAGCCGTTCGTCCACTACGATGAGAGACAAGTCTGGTCTCGAGATGGCGTGGCCGTTGGAACTGCCGTTCAGGTCGACATGGGATTCTTTGTCTGTAATCTGCAGCCTTCTCCCCCGGACCATGTTCTGTGGAGAGAATATGACAGCGGCTGCCGTTGCCCACGGCTTCTCATGCGGCCGAAGCCAGTGGCAAGGGCACATGTTCAAGAGAAGCACGCAAAATCCTGTTTTACATCCATGGATGCCGGCAGTTTCTCCGTGGCTGGCCTAGAAAGATAGCTACTGTACCTATGTAGCACCCTTCACACACGCTATCTGAATCTTCGATACCTTGGTATAAACTGTCTCACATTTTGTACGAACGGTGTTTGACTTGAGCAGAGGAAATTGTGGTGGTTTATCGTGCCCACATTCCAACATGTCTCTCCGTTCCATTGCCGATTCAAGTGGAGTGATTTGTGCGGAGGGTTCATTTTGGGAGCATCTGGAGTTGACACAAGCATGGGACAGCATCAAATCTCTTCCCCATGACTACGGAGTACAGCGGAGATAAACTTCCTCCCGCCATGTGGGCTTTACCTAGTACTAGTACACAGCGACAGGACTGTGTCAACTCACCGACCGATGGGCTACTGTGCCGGACGGAAAGCTGTATTCGGCTTTGGCTAATATCCATGACCATGATTTTCCAAGTTTGATTCATCTAGCGGTATACAGCACACGGCACACGGCAAGCATACCCATACTCACAAGCGCAAGCTTGATATGATAGCGAGAGATGAGATCCGTCCGCTATGCCGGCCAGCCTACCCATTGGTAGATCATCATGCAGAGACCCCAGCAACCAACCGGGCACATCCGATCTTCTTAGCGACAAGGGGGCCCCTGCTAGGTAGTGGCTCTCTGCTACTCATTGCGGAAGGGGTGCATGCAACTACCACTACGAGTACGAGCATGCACTATTACTGCTAGCAACAGAGCTGCTCGCTGCGGGCTGGGTTGGTGACATCGCTTGACAAAATGACGGGACACCAGCTCGGGGGTATCCTTTGCTTTTTGCGCACACTGGGGTTTCTTTTTGGGCTGACGGACGTCCTGACCGTTCAGCTAGCTGGCCCGTGACTTGTACGAGTCCAGGTAGGTTGGCCTCTCTTTTGGCCGTGTGTCTTTATTTCCCTGTTCTCCAGGCCGCATGCAAGTGCATGAAAGGCGGGCTGTTAATCTCATCTCATGCGTGTTATTGAATCGCAGGTTCCGTGTGCTTACACCAGCTTGGCGCATGTATTGTATGGACCCCATGTGCATTTCAGTCATCTTTGTTCTCTTTATGTTGCCGCTGCATCTTTTGGCAGCTTGGCCCAATATCCAGCCTCCAGCTTGTACGACTCTCCCAACACCACAAATGCTTGGACAGGGCGCCCGTGCCAAGCGGTAAGGCCCCCCTCCTCTCCCCACAAACAAGGCCACGATAGTCTGGGAGATTACGCTACGCGGGAGTCTACTGCATGGCAGTATAAGTGGCCACCGCACATCTATGGAGCACTATCAATTCTATCTGTCGTTTTCTCTTTCTGGGCATACTACCTAGTAGACCAGGGCAAATTGGACCCCTTCACCCCTGTATCCTGTATCCCTTCACACCCCCCGGCCATGAGCGGATAAGAGTCGAGATGGATGGCCAAAACATTACAACTACGATACAAAGTACAGCCGGTGATAAAAGTCCGTGATTCGCCCTCGCCTGACTCGGTCCTGAACCACGCCCCCCCTAGATCTCGATAAGTTCGATCTATCGAGCTATCCTTGACCTTTGCCAATACCCATACCGCACCCACAATTTCTTTTTGGTGTCTCGGTCTCTCTCTGTCACTTACTTCCAAAAGCCTCTTTTCCCGGGGATTGATCTGCAGGTAGACTTGTCTCAGGCCCGCTAAGAGCATCCCCATCTCTCATTCCAGGACGATACTATATCTTCAGTCGTCCGCCCTCGAGAAATAATCCAACATTCCCGATCAGAATTCCCAATCATTTCCCAAGTTCTTGCACACTCGATCTCTTCTCGCCTGTCGTGGTCGTTGTGCTTTTTCTTGGAGTACTCTCTCCATATTGAAGGGATTCTGTCTAAACTTACACTCCTTCAATATCCAAAACGCACTCTGTTAATTTATCATCATCATATTACCATTGAGCTTGTTGTTCTCGTTGAATATCTTTATTCTGCTCCCTTTGGCTTACTTTCTCCCGGCTATCTTTTTGTGTGCCTCTTTCTCTCTCACTCGCTCTTCATCACCACCACAATCATCCAAAATGCAACTCGCCGAGCCAGACACTTACCACCACCCCCGATTCGAGATGGAGGATTACAACAATCTGACCATCTCGTGTCCTGGGGCCAGCTTTTCTTCGGCTTCTTCTAACTCATCTTCTCCGTACGAGGTCTTCACACCCATTTCTCGTCGTTCCACGCCTAACGATCTCAGACTGGAGTTTGACGGCTACCAGTCATATAGCAGCCAAGGGGACCTCACACCGCCTACCATCATGCCTAAGTACATGTTTGGTCCCGTGAAAGCGGAGCATGACCGTATGTCTTTCTCTTCCACTGACGGAACTCTTCCCCCTTCGACTCCTCTGAGAAAAATGAGCGACATCATGCCCTACGACCACATCCTCGACATGAACAACATGGCCTCACACTCAATCGGTTCCATCACCCCTTCCGGGCCAGTGGTCTACACTGAAGCACCTCTACAGCCCGCTCCCTACATCATGGCACCTACACACAGCATCTCTCCCTCAGAGATGACAGACAGTGTACCTTCGTGGCCGTGCAACAATGACAGCCCAATCTCTTTCTTCAGGCAAAAGGTGCAGTCACCACATGATGAAGCTATGGACCTTCATCGATACTCCCAATCCCCCATGGGAAGATATTATCTTCATGGACAGCCAGTGTCTCCCAACAGGGTATCAGGTGCGCGGACACCAGTGCACGCTCTGGTTCGTACCCGCATGAAGACAGCAGCCCTTGAGCGCCAGATGGGTGTTCCAAGAAAGGTGCCCGAGAAGCAGTCTCACGACAACTCATATGATGTTGTACGCAAGGCCATGTGCAAGTGTGATTATCCCAACTGCCAAAAGGCATTCAGAAGGAACGAGCATCTCAAGCGTCACAAGCAAACGTGAGTACCATCACCTAGCTCTTTAGCTTGCGAACAGTAACAAATACTAATGCATCCTCTAGATTCCATGGAGAAGGTCCCAACCGATTCTCCTGTGAGTTTTGTGGAAAGGACCAGTTCAACCGTCAAGATAACCTCAACAACCACCGCAAACTACACGCTCGTCCAAACAGCCGCAACCGTGGGGTTGAGTTTATCCCTGCCGCGGTGCCTGTCATTGAGCAAGAGGAGCGAAGCCGCAAGAGGCGAGCACCTCCCAAGTCAAGACTCGCCGCAAATGGGGCGCCAGCGGGCGAGAAGCGTGGCAGCCCCTACTGAGAGCATTGTCTATCACTGCCCGCTCCAGAGCCGGTCAGACTTGGGCGATAATATCCTGAGTCCATTCCATACCTCGCTTCGTCCATTCGTCCACTTGTCAGTGGGGCCAAGCCACACCCGATAGACGCCGAGGCGGCGTCGGGAATGACTTGGAAGGTGACTGGCTTGCAACACGGCATCGGGTAGCAGCAACAAAAACTCCTTTTTCTTGTCTTTTTTTGCATACATGCAGGGGACGAAATAATCCTTGCCCGCTGAACCGAGTTTACTATTGGTTCGTTCTAATCACAACATCCTGCTTGACGGCTGCTGCCCAAGTAGAAGGCCTCTTCTTTGTCTATCCATTTACACCGAATACCGCCACACACACACACACACACACACACACACACACACACACACACACACACACTGGTGGTCAGCATCACAAAAAAAACAAAACAAAACAAAACCCAAAAGCAACATCGTTAAACACAAAGCATCTACTGGAAGAAACATTCCATTAATTTCCTTATTCTTATTTGGACCAAAGGTGGGAGTGGAGGATATGGGGGGAAGGGGGAAGGACACCGGCGCCTCTTTCTGTGGATCTTTACATCTCTTGATATCCAAGGTGGGAGTGGATGGATACTACATACATACATGGTTTATGCTTGGTTTTATTTCCTTTTTCATGTCGGTTTTTGTCCTTTCATCATTTCTTTCTCTCTTTTTTGCCTTGTTGACGGCTGCCCGAGGTATCCCTGCGGCAGTTGCCGCGCTGGCCCCCAACTATTTCATCATCATTACTTTTTTTTCTTCCCACCTGTTCAGCTGGGCCGCATGGCTTGGCGGCCGGGTCTTTCAGCTTTATTGTGGTTGGGAGAAATGTGTTGACGTTTTACTGATACCAAAAGATATACGAGACGGTATGGCCCTACATGGACTGTCAAGATGTCCTAAAGACACCCCAAATCAAGTGTGTATATTAGCATACACACTTGACAATGTATAATATAGTTTAATTGTGATGAAGATTTTTTTTTTGGCTTTACAATTGTTCCTCTCCCAGTGTTTGACCACACTCTCTCCCAGTGTTCCTTCTGTCTCTGTCTCTCTCGTTCACCGCTTCAGGCATTCTCGTGAGTGTTGGCAATCACGTATATTAAACTGCTGCATCATGCAAGTCTACGAATGGCAAGCCGCCATTGGCCGGTATCTTCTGATATGAGGCTGCCTGGAGCACGTCGAACCCAATGATCCACCACCAACATATCGGTAACTCTACCTTCCGAAACGGCGAGCAGGGTCTGGTCCATCCATGTCGAGGAGGGGGGGCGTGTGGCGGCAAAAAAAATTCCCCAGCCTCCAAAGGAAAAAGGAATAGCCGCCTGAATCACCGAACGAGCTCTCTCTCAAAAGGGGAGGGGGGCGGGAAAGAGACACAGACAAAAAAAAAAACAAGAGGAGAAGAGACACACTCGACGCGGGCTGATAGGAGGAAGGCCGCGCGGGTGGAACACGAAAATCCATCCCACGGCTCTCGGCGTTTGTGGGGTGGTATGTGTGCCGGGTCGGTCTGGAGGGTCCGATGTTGTCTGGGACTTACAGGAACTCTGCAGAATTGGGGCACATCATTCATTTTTTGTCTTGGGAAAATGCTAACGGGGGTCCTGTTTGGAATGGACGATGGGGGATCTGGACTCTGCGGCTGGGGAACGGGTGGCCCATCACTCTCGCTTTTTACAAATGTATTGCTCATAGACTTGAGCGTCCGAACAAAGCAAAGTTCACGGCAGACGGCAAAGGAAAAAAAAAAAGAGGCTTCGAGCTAAGCGCAGATCCTTGATCCCTTGCTGGCTCTCTCTCGGGAACAGCCAGAGTGTAGTTTATGCTCTTTCTCTGGCCCTGGTCTAAGATCTACCCAACTAGGCAATGCCATTTCCAAGGGTTACACATACACAAAAAAAATTGGGGGCGTGTCTGTCGGCCCAGGGAGGGATGGATGGAAGGGGAGGAGGGGGCGTGTAAAGTGGCAAGCGAATGAGAGCAGTGGCAATGTGTTGGCAACCTAAACAGCTGTGCTAATCAAGGTACACATGCATTTTGGGCGAAGAGTGTCTTGGGTTCCTTGGGAATATGTTGAGGAGGGGAAGTAGGGCGGTTGGTCATTTTGTGCTGGGACTCGTTTTGGAGATGGTTTAGATGAGAGGAGGGGAGAGATGGAGAGACCCAACACACGTTTTTCTGTTTTAAAACTCTCTCTAACCTTTCTCTCTCTCTTAGAGTGAAAAACCGTTGAGTGTTAAAGTTAGGTCTGTGAAAGTTGGGCTTTGGTTGTGTCTAATTTTATCCCCATCTGATATGAAACGAGAGCTTGGGATGGGCTAAGGATAACATGTTGGTGATGCATCTCGGCCGGCTTTGTGCCAAGGTTCGTCCCCTCCATGACTCCACGCATCGTAATCGCTTTCACCATTAACCGAAAGCAAAGAAAAAGAGATAGTAACGGGTCTCCCAACTCTTAGTCCTGCAGCCGGTAAGGCTACGATGACGCTTGTATCTGCTATGCCAGCGCCGAAACTCAAAAAAACCAGGCCAATACAGGGAGGGAAATGAGGATATTGGCTGAGATACACCCACGTAGATACTCTAGACTTGCCTTAGCACGGGCATTAGACGACCAGGGGGGGCCAGAAAAATAAAATGGCGCGTGAAAAAAAGAGGATCACCAGTGCATTAATCTTGCAGAAGCAGCCCTTTTTCTGGTTTCAGTTTGCCAGCGCCGATTAATATAAAAGAAATACGCAACGGTCGACTTGTCTTATGAGCAAAACATGAAGCAGATCCCCTCCCCCAAAAAACGAGGGCTGGGGATTTCGATATCTCGCTGCTTAAGCGCACGCTATTATGCACATCTAACACAGTCTCAAACACAGACACAGACATGGTTTCTTCATGTCTAGAATGCTGTGCGTGTGCTAATGCATCCGTCGATGTACGTGCATACGAGTACACGTCTGTATTAAAGTGTTTCAGCCAACGGGATGTGGCGGGAGGGATGAGTGTCTGACGAGCACAAATCTCGTCCCAAGTGTCATTGCCGTGCGCTCATCTCGTTCATCAGTGCCATGAGCGGGAGAGCAAGGCAGCGGGATGCTCCTCAGCCAGACTGTCGGGACGGACTGTGCGTTTTGCTGGGTTTGTTGCATGGGATATTGGCTTGTACAAGCGCTTGACATGTTGGTCCGCAGCTGTCAGGGGAGGGGGCCTTGACATGGACTCGGTTCCTTAATCTCCTTTTCTTCCTGGTCAGCCGCAGCCGATGACCACTTGGCTTGGCTGCGGCAATCTATCACATTTTGCCATCGTCACTCGTCACCCGTCCGTCACCGTCAGTCCTGATGGTGTTGCCCAGTCAAGTTTCGCCTGACCGGTCAGTTCGGAAGCGGCTTGAAGCGTCCGAGAGGTATGACCTGGCCGTCTTAGCGGCGTTAGCTCTCCGATGGGAAAGCCGGGACACGTTCCGTGCCGCCAAGCGGATGGACTTTGGTTCAAGGCTTGGCCCAACCTGTGTGCATGGACACGCAAAGTTGGTGGTGACTGAGCCCGTGGGCACGGGCTTGCTTGCCGGCGGCCCGCGTGACGCACATTCGGAGGCGTCCGTACCCAAGCCGTGAGCTGGGGCCGTAGCAACAAGTCACTCTGTCGTAAGTACGGTAATAGTACACAACTGCAGTTGAGTTGTAGTTGTCCATCTGTGTTGTCATTTGCTGTCCTCTAGTGTACTCGTCTTATGTGGTCACCGGATAGAGTCGGACAGCTGTCACAGCACAGAGGGGGTCCAAGGCACGTAGTGATAGGCCCAAAACCAAGGCCGTGACAACTGGCCCCAAGGCTCTGGCGGTGAGAGAGTGAAGTGAGGCTGACTGCTGTTTCAGTTGCCCGTTGGCGGTCCATGATGAATACTCGTATATTGCAGTACATAGCTCGGGGCTGCCACGACACCTTGATCCCGCTTCAGCTGCAAAGCGGCCTATCAAAGTCACCGTATCAGCTGGTTAGCCCGACCACTTGCATCATGTGCACGTTAGCTGTCCATACATGTCCAATCTCGGTATGAGATGAATGCAGCTTGTGCGGCTCGTGTGGCGTGGTTGATGTTCAAAGTGCGGCATGCAAGTATCTGGAGAGAGAAGACGGATGGAGGTTTTCTGGCTTGGTCTAATGGAGGCGCCAGGGACAGGGACAGGGGCAGGGACCGCTGTGGCGCACGGTGGATAGCGATCTAGCCGCCATGGAGCACGCTATGGAGTAAGCCACAGCTGCGGTACAGGGGACAAGTTGCATTGAGGTGCGCTGACCGAGCTGCGGGCGAGGACACTTGCATGAGACGGACGAGGTACATGCAGCAAGGCGGTTAATTGTATGATGCAGCTAGGTATACTCGAAGAAGGTGTTAAGATGCAGGTGGACGTGCGATCAACTTGAAGGCGGTACCCGATACTTGCTGGGAGAGTCAGGTGCTACTGCTACCTCAGGCACAGAAGCATGGAAGGTACAGTGACGTTGCTGATACCTTACATGTACCTTATGCTTGTCAGAGGCACAGCACAGCATGGCATTGAAAGCATCCAATGGATGGCATATGTATATAGGACCATTACAGCCACAACGTGGTCTACTTTACGGGTAGACAAAGTACCAACTCGTACAAGGCCCAAGCCAACGCATTGCACTTGGTCAGCTGCTGACTGCATCAATATAGTAGGTGCCTGTATCAGCTATATTGCATTAGATGGAAGCCAATTTAATCGTCTCAATGGTCTTCTTTTCTCACTGGAGTCGCATCTGTCGTTGCATCTGCTGAACTGGGCTCTCAACCAATCCCGTGCCTGTATTACTGCTGTACAGTACATAAACAGGCTTAGTCGTAGCAGTGGTACCCTGCTAGCAGTGCAGAGTACCAGCTCCGTCACCAACATGAGGGGCGATACCTTTCGGCTCCATTGAGCTACTTGGCACGATGCCAGAGCTCCACCGCTCCTGCTGCAGCTGGGAGCCCATGAGATGAGATGCATTGATTTGATGGCAAGTGCGCCCTAGCCGTAGCGCTTTCCGACTCCACATGCTTTGGTGAGTGATGATGCGTCCATGCTCTGATGCCAAGATGGTACTTATGACTTGCTCCCTTTGCCTCACTTCGCCATGTACTGTAAGGTATCTGCCTTTGCATGGCCGCTCCTTCTTTGCTGTTTAATAAGATACAATAATTTGGTAACTTGATGCAAAGCACAGCAAGTACCTTCCGTGCGTCTTCTTGCGCTGCGGATACCTGTCTGCCAAGTCACCACACAGCCACACCGGCTTGAATCCCGTGCTCGGCTCAATCAAACCTCCATCATCCGCCTCAAGATCCTCTTCCTTGCGCCAATATTCTCGCTTCCAACTGCTAGTCCCATTCCATTCAATACCAGTCCAAACTACCAGGCATCAGCTTTCCACCGTATTTGCGTACCGGAATCCGCCTCTCTACCGCTATCCTTTGTATGTATCCCTCATTAACAGGGTACTTACAACTCACTCCCGTCTCGACTACACCTCTCGATTCTCCGGTTGCTCTCCGAAATATGCAGCATGGATGTTTTGCCAACGTATCAGCAAGCCACCACTCGACCCGACTGGCTGCAGCTAGCCGCCCCATACATAGCATTCACGGATTATCCATCCCTTTGTAGAGTCAGCCGCCGTTTCTGGTCCGTCTTCGCGCCTCAGCTCTGGAGAGACCCTTGTGCGGCGTCTAAGCGTTTGGGATGGAGCACGGACGGTGGTGAGTCTTCCCTGACGGCATCAGCACCTGGGCGGCACTCATCCGTATTTCGGCAGATACCAGACAATGGTGGGCTAATTTCATGTCCCGGACGCTACTCCAGCTGACGCCCAAGACACGGCTCCTAATTCAGGTGCTGGATGTAAGAGGCGCCGCTGGGCCGCGCGAGTTCGCCATGTACTCAGAGCTTACTGCAAACGCCTTTACGCTGGCTCTCCAGCTGCTTCCAAACGTCACGGCTCTTGTCTTGGATGACCAAGAAAGCCTTGACATCCGCTTCCTTGGCCGCAGCCCCCAACAGACCGTGCCATTGGGTCGCGCATTACGGGTGCTAAGTCTTGATAATGTTAACCATGGAGTTCTTAAAGTTCTCCAATCACCTGAAACCCTGCCAGAGTTGCTATACTTGGAGGTGTCTGGCTCTTCATGGCCCAGGCATGACCGCCTAATTGAGCTACAGCTACCCAAATTACGCATTCTCAAGCTTCGCCGTTGTGGACTCCGTAGCGATAAGCCACTTTATCTCAACGTTTTCGACGGTCGCTTGTGGAGTCTAGACGTGAGTGACAACCAACTATCCGACCTCTCTGCAGCACGATTCCTCAGCCAACTCAACTTCACCCGTCGACTGCGGACACCGCAGCATGCATCAACCGAGGGCTTGGTCGAGCGTTGGACAGAATTCGACCGCCATACCTCTATTCTGGAAGTACATGGCAGCAGCGACGTTTTTCTTCCTGGTGCCAGATATCTGGTCGATGCTCCCGCATTTACAGCCTTGGCTAATAGTCAAGAGTTGCCTGCTGTCCGCTCCGACGGCTCTGTACCAGTACGCCAAGACACGCTCGACGGTGTTTTACGTCTCCTGTCTCGGAATGATGGCATTGCTGCCACGGACCACTTGCCCGGCTCCATCGGCCTCACACATCTGCACTTGTCGGGCAACCAATTTTCGGCGGCGGGAATTGAATCGCTGCTGCGCCGCTCCAACGGACAGATAGAACACTTTGATTGCGATTCAATGTGCTTATTTCCACCTAGCGGCCATTTTCGTGTCGATGAAGAATCGGGTAGAGATTTACATCCCACTTATACTGGTAAGCTTGGCATCCATGAGTCAATCAGAATGTACGGATTCTCGGGTCTGTCACATTTATTTCGCCCTGTTTGGTGCTCCAATCTTCGATCCCTCAGGATACATCACTCGTTTGTCACAAATATACCTACGGTCAGCATTCCTGGTCTTGGTGATATTGACCGAAAATATTTTGCTGAGAAGCACATCTTCCCCGGCCTTGACTGGGCATACTCGCTAGCCTTTCTCCCGGACATGAATCCCCGGCTACAATCCTTGACGTTGACTTGCGTTCCCCGCCAATCCTTTGGCCCTCTCGTACACAAGTTGACCTTCTTCCTTCGGCTCTTGGGCTTGCAAGAGCAGGCGTTATCCATCATGAACAAGGCGGAGGCATCAAGACCAGGGCGGTCTGTGCGGTTTGTGAGCGGCCTTCGGTACCTGACACTGGAAATGGAGTCAATGGAGAATAAGCCAATGGAAATGAGCTCACCTCTCGAATTGGATGCTGAGGAGCTCATGACTAGTGGTGAGACACCATTCAGCTTCTTTAATGAATCGGCGGAGCAGTCGCCGCCGCCAAAGGAGCCGCGCTCGTACTACATCCCAGTTTGGACCTATATTATCCCCAAGGCCCCCTTGAGGAATAACCGTGTATTCCAAGTTGAAGAAATTGGGCATGACGTAGCAGCAAATTATAGCCCGGGAGCCCCCCCTGGCTATCCGCCCAGAGACCTCAGTAAGGAAAAATGGATTCGATATAGAGAATCCACGAAGAAGCGACTGGTAGCAGTTTGGGCTGGCAATACCTGGTCACGAAGTCCTGTTATCCAGAAATACCGCTGCTTGGTACTCGAGTATGGAGTATACGAGGGACTTGGGCCCACTACTATTCATCACACGAGGGCGGGCGCTCCGGTAGGATGCTTCATCTTCCAACAAACCTGGCTCTATGCCGCGTTACCGCAAACATTGGAAGTGCCACCAACTATCCAAACACCAGAATATGAAGATGTAGCCGCTGAGCTACGGCGACGCCATGTCTCGACATATGAGGAGTTTGAGCGAATACGGAAAGAGTCACCTCACCGTCCATGCTTTTATTGGGGCGGCACATTTAAGATTATCCATGCGAAGCCGAATCACGTCAGTTGAGTAGACTTGGAGTGGCATGATACAACTTGTAATGAAGCGTGTTGTTGGCAAGCAGTAGATGGATTGAGCGCCACTACTGCGAGGGCGTTCCGTAACGACGTGTGGAGATATTATGTATCTAGCATTGTATAACACCGAATCTCGATAATTCTATACAGTCAATTAATTTTGACTAGTAAGAGCTCGTGATACATGGTTTGTTGTTGTTCTTGTTACAGTGTTGAGGCGCGTATCTAGCAAAAGCTGAGACATGCATCTTCATGACGCCGCTGTTGTCTACATGACGGGTACGAAGCCCTCTGACGCTCATCTCTGCATTATCACACACCGCCACTCGAAAAGAGCTCAATCTCTAACCTGATTGTCGTATGAAGTGAAGTATCCGGGGAAAAGAAGCCGGTGTGTGGGCATCTATCCGACAAACTACGACTTACTCCGTTGTACAACGCTTTGGAATGTGCGCATCTGCATGATTGGTTGGAACACCTGACGTAGTAGTTATTCTTGTTCAGCTCATTGGGCGGCAAAAAAGCATGCACGATGGGTGTTTCTCATGCATGCTCTTGGGATCGAGCAAATGAGATTGGCGCGTTTTTTCGGAGGGGGGATCCGGGAGAGGAGGGGGGCGGAGTTAGTAGGAGTGAGTCTGCGGCTGAAACAGCGTTTTCTCCGAGAATGTGGCGGTATGTGCGGCTGAAACAGCGTTTTCTCCGAGAATGTGGCGGTATGGAATGGGTTTGCGGCCGATGAGGAATAATCGCCGTTTTCTTTTTCTTTTTCTTTATTTTTGATTCGGTGAGTTTTCTTAATTTTGATAGGTTACGGGTTAGAATTGGGGCGACGTTAGAACGAATACGGCGCGGGTTTCTGAGTGGTGAAGTGTATGAGTAGAGCTATCATTGGAACCGTTTTGACGTAGTCGTATTCCTTGTTTCATCTATTCCGTGTCTATTTCGCCGAGCGGCATGTGATAGTTTCCCAATAAAAAGGAGAAAAGAAGGAAAATCATAGTCAATAGCTCAGTTATACCCTGTAACGCGGAAATATGTCATGCACTTTTCTTTTTCCTTTCTTTCATTGATCATGTTCATATCTGTCTCAGCTCTCGTCTATTTAGCAGGGGTATGCAATTCTGCCTTGTGATTTGCTCGTCGGAGCCCAGTCCGAGAATGACACGTCTGATTTTGCTAGTGCTTGTGCGGCTGATGGAGTCAACATACCGGTTGCTCTGAGATGGTGATTGGGAGGCCAAGATTGTTTGCTGCTAGCATCGTCCCTGTTACAAAATTTACATGGGCACTAAGCCAGGAATAATATTGATTGCATTATGCAGGCTCTGTTAAGACGGGTTGTATTGTGGCCAATCAGTACCCGCTGATTTACTGTTGTGTTAACGCGCTTGCTGAAAACTAATGTTCTCTTTTCTTTTTTGGGGTAGTTTTTGCTTTCATCTAATAGAGCGGTGTCGGGACGTGGAATTGCGTCCTGGGCTTTCTATTACATACGCGAATGTAGGAATGGTTCGGCTTAGTCTGGGGATATAGGCAGCCAAGACAAGGCGAGCGTTGGGGTCTAGTTTAATTACGACGATGAATGGTTTGATTCGTTTTCTTTTAGAGTGAAAGGATCTGATTAGTTCGCTCTATGAGCACCGAACCGAGGGGGTGGCTGTCAGATGTGATGCGAGGAGTTCGATTCAGCTTGCTCAAAGGGGAAAGGAGACAACAAGGTGAGCGTAATTTGGATTAGCTGCAGCGCAAGAAAGAGCCGATGCTGTGCTATTCATGCTACGGTAAGTGGGAAGGGGCGGAATGGAGAGTGGAATAGAATTCACTTCCAAGTGATGTTCTCATGTCTGTGCGTAGGCACTATCATGAACAAGGGAGCGGTGAGAGGATGTGGAGGTGAAGAGGGATGGATCGGGGTAAGTTGTATGCTAGCATATGAATGTGAATATTTTAGGGTAATGCCATGTGTGAATAGCGGCTGCTCTTTATTGTGAATTTCAAAGTGTTCGTCAGAGCCTCGTCTTGACAAGCATGATCAATGGATTGGTAGATTGAAAGATGAAAGCCGAGGGTGGAACAGTATTGCAGCCACGACAAGGGATTCGTTTCCTAGGGAACACGGTGAAAGCTGAATGGCATAAGCGAATAAGACTAACAAGACTAGTGATGGAAAACAGTAAATGAAAGAACAAGTCTTGATTGGCTGAGTAGTTGCACATACAGTATTTAATTGGGGAGATATTATACATGTTGTGTATAATTTATGCATGGTCAAAAAGAAAACTAATACCAACAAAATGGTAGACGAACATGGAATCATATCATCCAGCAGGATACTCTGCCTCATGAGCATGAGAAAACCACATATATGTTCCGTAAGGGTTCAGAACCTATGGGCTCGGTTGCAGTTGAACGTATTGATGTTGGTCATCACTGATACTGTTAATGAAGCGGAAGATATAGCAAACTATATTATCAGTGTTAACATGATGTATTCATATAGTCATCCTTTTTAGTGCTAGAAACACAGTACATAATGTTGTGAGCGGTATGGATATGGCACGTAATATTATCTGACGATATCTGGCTCACATCTATACTTCTATTGGATCGCTTTCACGCCAGTATGAAAGAAATTACTTGCAATCTGGGCTTACCCTTTAGTAAAACATATTATTGTTTCAGAGATGGAAATAATCTTCATATTCAAACAGATATCAACGATCTGATTCATAAAATGGACAGAGTAACAAGGTTAAAGACTTTTAGGTATGAAACCAACTAAATGTAGCTCAGTGCTCCCTAATGGATTTGCCCTTGACCACATTGCTCAAATCACCCACTGGAATCTGAATCGGAAAGTCGACTATCGCAAGCGAAATGGCCAACAGAATGTACCATCCCGCCAGACACGTTACAAAAGCTGAGGCGCCAGCTCCCTAGAAAGCAGGTTAGTTTACACGGCTCTGTTGTATAGAGAGAGTTGCTCTCATTAAAAGGATGTACTTACCACAAGCAACTTGTTTGCATAGTGAGCATTGCCCACGAAATCCTCTGCCATTGCCCAATACGCTCCAGTCAACAGCCCAAAAGCAATAACCAGTGTCAGGAAGATGATGAAGAAGGCGACATTGGTACGCAGTGAACAAATAAGAAAGACAAGACTAAGTAGTCCCATGAAGAGGAACCAAAAGCCTACAACACCATGATTAGCACAACAAGTCATAGTACATATGAGTGTATACATAGGATGGCTTACCCAGGCTGGCATTGAAACCAGTTGTCTGAAGCCCCTCGGTACCATCTTCGCCCGCCTTTGCGTACGAAGAAAACGCAGCAAACGACGGGTTCAAAACACCTCCGTAAGATAACCAAAATGTGCCAAACGAGGTGAAGACGACGGCAGGGAAGCTGTTGCCGAGGATCCATTCGAGGAGACCGCCAACCGTCATGAGGATGCCGGCTTGGAAGAAGTATACCGGGCTAAAAGATGGACACGATACAAGTCAGCGAACGTCTTCTTGTAATGTTTAGGATAAGGGGAGGATAGAGTATTGTAAACACGTACATTGTTGCTGCGCCGCCACCGCTTGCTCCTCGCCAGCCCATAAGAGCACATGATAATGGTGTAAGAGCCATGAGAAAGCCCACAAGAGCACTATCCAATTGACACAATAAGTCAGTCTCATATAATCACATCATCCACGACAGTAACAAAGATAGACAAAGAGTATCAAGCATCTTACATTGGTGTTGGGTTTCCAAATGTATCTCTGAGATGGCCCTTGACCTTACTCTGCGGCGCCAGGTACAGCTTCTCGAACAACTCGGGTGTCATGCTGATGCTCGCCGCCGAGCGAAACCTATTCAACGCCTCGGCCCGCTCCGAGTCAGAGTCGACGCCATGACCCTTTTCCTCTGCCATTGTCGATAACGTTTCTGTTTTCCTCGGTATAACAAAGACAAAAGGTCTATTGAAAAGAGAAGAGATAGAAAGCAAGAACCCTTTCAATTGTAATCTAGAGAAAAAGAGAAGAGCAAACAACCCTGGATTTAAACCCCGTCTCGAATGCCATTCCCCCCAAGATATATGTACGGTAAGCCCCCTTATCAAAAAAACAAATACTCTCCGATCCTCGCCTCCTTTGTCCCGGAACCAGCATCAAAAGAGAGAATACGCCACGCACGCATGCACGAAAACTTACGAGACCGGAAGCAAGCAAGCAACATCCTCGTAGCTTCGAATCCTTTCCCCAGCTGCTGCTGCAAAGTAAGCCCCCAAAACTTCCTAGGTTCCGATTACCCAACCAACCAGCCCCCCAGCCCCCAAAATAGTCGGAACCAGGGCCTCTCTCTCCCGGCTGCCCGATATCAACAACGCATCTTCCTTACCCCAGATCTATTAGTGTCCTAACACAATGACTCCTCTTCCCCGTACGTAAATCAAGCCCCCCCAGACTATCAGGTCATCTCCCCGTAACCCCCACAAAATCTAGCTTGTCTAAAGCTTCAACCCGGTCAATCAATCTCGCACTTGCGGACAACTCCATTCCCGCTCCTCCACACACAAAGTCACAAGTTGCTCTCTCGTCATTCCCCGTCATTTCCCCAACCCAGCAATCTTTCCCTCCTCTTACTCCTCGTGCTTCTTTCTTTGTTTTACCCCAGATTTCCCGGCTTGCCCTCTTTGGTTGAATCTCTCCACTTGTCCCCCTTTGCCTTCTCCGCAAAATCCACTTACCCACTGTTTTCCGTTCGCCCGAGAGCTTAACTGGTGCGGCCCTTGTTCTTAATTGGACTTGCACATGCTTGGTTGGAACTGGAAAGCTGTACTTGAAGTCTTTATTCAGTTATGTTCTACAATGACTATTGCAATTGCTTCTAAACAATGAATCAATATTCCAGACTAGTAGTCATTGAATCTCTCTGTCTCCTCATAACGTAATTCGGTCAACACAGTCTGGACAACTTCTCCATCCCTTGCCTTTGCTCTACCCCACAGTGACAGGCATCCGTCCTCCCTCGACTTGGATCCGATCCAAGCTAAAGCGCCGCTCGTACGATGGCCATGCAAGCCAGAAAAAACGCCCACATCCTCCGTCGTCCGTCCAATTCGTCCTTGAATCCGCGGATTCTGCTCTATTCGCCAATAGACCAAAAGCCGACTCAAGCGACTCGGCCAATCGCACTCAAGAAAAGCCGTGACTAGATCTTCTCTCGTCTTTGTGCATTGGCTCTGTGACTGTGGCTTCATCTTTCTAGGACTCTGCTTTCTCTTATTCCCGTATGTCCGTTTCAATCGGTTCCTCTATTCGCCGCTCGTGCATGAGAGTTTCCCCCAGATTTGCATTGCTCTAACCCTTTTGTCCCACACTCTGTATATGCCGTAAAACTCCTGCTGCACACCAGTCGCCAAAACGCCAAATTCTCATTCCCATCGATCACCCCTTACCCCAAGAATTCCACAAGAGAGACCAGTCATTACCTATACCATGAAATGGGGCCGCCGCTTAAACCACCATCTCCCTGGGTACTCTTGCTGTAGGCTCTGGGGATCGGCACAAATCACCAGCATCATCATCACCTTTCCGGCCATGCGCCTCAACCAACTTATTCCAGGTCTCGACCGCAGCCACATCTTCCACTCGCAGAACAATATTAGATTCCCAATCGCGTTCAAAAGTCGAAACATCCTGAAGCAACAAGTCAGTTCACTAAATATGAGCGTATAATGCCCCAAGAAGCACGGCAACGTTGGTTCAGGAGGTATCTACTTACATGTTCAGCGCGATAAGGACCAAAGTCCAGTATGTCGCCGACCGAGACACATGAAGATCGCTGGTCGATCTATTGACGATCGCCTTGTTGACAACCTCATACATTGGTGGTATCCAGACAGCCAGAATAAACAGCTCCACAAGCATTGACCAGTGGTACGTTCTCATGGCATGTCCTCTGATAGAGTTCAATAAAGTCGCCCAGAAGCCCATGATGAAGGCAAACTGTTAAAACATCTTGTTAGCTCGCCACACATGCTACATAGGGCCGCAATATTAGCAAGCAAAAAGAAACAGGGGCTCACACTCACCACGACAGGGATGATCACCATCAGCTGGTTTTTGAAACAATGCCAACACAGCACCGAACCGGCAAGCACTACCATCCACTGCGCCATCCCAATCGTATAATGAAGGACTATAACCCTCTTAAACTTTTCATAGCAAGGGACATGATACTCTGGCTGGTTCCATCCCGTCTCCACCGTCACTGGAATCCCGCACCAGCGACACACATAGATGGCCTCCGAATTCGCCAGAGTGTACGGTTTTCCGACCATGAAGTACGACCGTCTCGCTATGCAGTCGAAGCACTTACTGGTGAACGGGTATTCCAAATGCAACGCGCTCCCCATCACGATTTCATTTGACTCCCTATATCTCAGGCAAATGTAGCATGTCCTCAGCATCCATTCATTGAGACGAGGAAACAGGTACATCATCACCTCCCTGTTGATGTTCTTCCGAAATAGACGGCACGTCTGGCGCAGCTGCTGAATCTCGCCAAAGTCGAGGTATCCCAAGATTTTAAACTGCAGCTCCGGCGGAAGCTGCAAGAAGCGCGAGAACATCGTCTGTCGTGGGATGAATCCATGGCTGCCGCGCGACCTCTGAATTGATAGCGGCTTCAACGCAATCTCGACCAGTTCTCTATCCCTAAAGATGATGGATCTGATGTTTGAGAGATATCGAGTGCTTCCAGAGAATTGCTTCGCCACTTTTTGTCGCAGACTCTGTTTCTGATTGTTGTCCATCTTCGCTTCTCGTTCTGACTCCCTTGGCTCACGGCATGAGGCGGATGAAGGAGGACGCCCGCTTCATACAGCGCCTGTCGCCGAGAGAAAAGTCGCTCCTATCGATAATACCACGTAGCCTTTATCTCTTCTGATCCTAATTGTTGATAGGCTTTGCGCTCTTCAAGCCACAGCCCACTCGCAATGTGAGATACAGCGGTTCTGTAGAAAGTGTATGCCCCCCACGGCGTTATAAAGTATTGGCCTAGGCAAACCGTCTGGGGCGCCTTGAAAAGGGCGAACAAATAATCGTCCAACGAGCCCAACAAACAAACAGTTTCAATAAAATAAAATGTAGAATAAGAAAAGACAAGCCGTTTTCCGACGAAAAGATAATGCGCAACCCGTATTTTCTTTTATTGCGAACGGCACATCGTGAAGTTCCCAAGAAGGAGGCAGAAAATAAGTGCCCAGATTCAGCCTCACCGGCCTCGCTAGTGGTGGGCTGTTTTCAGCTGCTGCCGCTGCGACCAGGCAGACAACTAGCACTGTAAAAAAGAGGCCGCCTAAGTAGTTTAATGGATATTCGTATTTCGAGCGGGTGGCGAAGTGAGACTGGACGAGTAGAAAATGCGATAAGATAAAATGGAAATGGAAGATGCAGAGATGCGATGCGATGCGATGCTCTGAAACTGCCGACGAGATGCGATGCAGGGCAGAAGGCGATGACGGCATAATCCACCGTTTCGGCAGCAGTTAAGCAGCTGCTAACTTTAACGGAGCAGCCAATCGCCGCACAGAATCTTGTTTACATTCTTTGCTTCACCAGCCGCAGCCCAAAATCCAAATTCGTTCGGCAATTGCTCTCTCCATCTTTGAACTTGGTGGCGCAGCTTGTGGCTGGTTCGCAGTTTGGCCCATCTCTTTATTTTGTCAATGTGTTCCTTGAGTTTGCAAATGAGTCTTCCTATGTTCACCGTAGAATATTCCTCTTTTTACTGTGGCAGCCCGTGCCTGTATTAAAAGTGATGCGTACCTCTGCACCACCAATCCCATCAACCCACACCAAATTACAGTATGGCGCCCTGGTACGTTTCGTACCTAGGTACTTTGCAACACCACACAAGAGTACCTCATGATATCATGAAGTTGAGGACTCACAGAGCAGTCAATCAGAATCTCCCAATCACGCACAAATTCGCAGGCTCCGATAGCTACAAGAGGACGATCGCGAGGATTTACAAAGACTTCATCCACGGGGAGGCTTGCAGTGATGGTTGCAGCTGCGTTGTATGAGACTGAGGCTGAGGAAGTCATTGAGGTTATCCCGGCTACCTAAATCGCGGAAGACGAGTCGGCTGAACTAGCCCGCCCATGATAATGTGTGCATATCGAATCAAAAGGGCCGGGAATGCGATTTTTGAAGGAATGAGCACTCATTGATAGTCAATAGTGTTGCTATATGAAACTTTGCATGATGATATCCTTTCCCAGTGTGCTGTACCGTATTTTGGCGTGTGGGTGTGGCAATTGCGTTTAAGAGAGTAAATGTAGCTCCTGATGAGGAGTACTACGGTGACAATAGGAAAATTTCTGCAAACAGTTGAGTTGACACCGATTTGTGCATAATTACGCTCCCGCGAATACAATGCCTCTCTCCACGTTGAACTAAGTGATGACTCTCTCAGCTGCTTCGCGATGAGCTACTATCACTATTCTTTACAATATAAAGTATCATTGTCATTCTTACTTATCCCATACATAGTTATCCATCATGTCTCAACTCCATCCATCCTATTCTTCCATAACGTGCATCATCAAACATAGTACAAACTCCCGTCAAAATGCTGTAAACATCATCACCTCATTGGCAACGCGCCAATGTACCGAGGCCCCGAGCGAACTCCAAGATAACCTCCCACCCTTCCGAGCCTCTTTCTAGTCAACAGCTCATTCAGTTCCTTCACCAGACAGCTCGCCGCCACCACTCGGAAGCTCTGAAGCGGCTTTTCGCTCTCGTGTTGGCCGTCGGTCTGGCTATCTTTCTCGCTCCCCACAACCACACAAGCCCAGCACAGTTCCACGGCATTCATTCTTTCCCTCTCGCTTTGCCCGTCATTATCCGTTGCGACCGACGCCGCGTCATCTGCAATACCCGTAGCACCCCCAGTACGATCGCGTATAAGCTTCGCAAAGAAATTCATGACTCTGTCCATCTCCTCCTTCAGCTTGATGGATGAATCTCGTTGCCGCCGCGTTTGGCTGCCTCTAGGGTTCAGAATTGACCCGCAAAAAGCTTCCACTTCACTGATGGGAGCGCGAGGACTGGTTGAAAACTGCCACATGGAATTGGAGACTTGCGTTTGATACCTATTTCAACCCCAGTTAGCCGCTTCAAAATATTGAGATGGAGGGGGGGGGTCGTACAGTTCACGAAGCTTCCATGCGTCATCAATCCGATGAGTATAGTCAACGTCTGACACGGTATATCCTTCCTCCTTTAGAGCAGCGCGCACATGCGTGTTCAACTGCTCCCATGGAGAAGGACCGCTCGCTGCCACCGGGCGCTGGACATCGTGAACCCAAATTTTCTCTTCGTCCACACCGCGATACAATTCCCCTAATATCTTCTGAGACTTGTAGTATATTTGCTTATTAATACCCATCCCATCCTCACCATCTCCATCCGATTCGGGATCTCCGATGTGGTCAATCTCGCCTCGATCGTATAAACGGGTAGGAGGAGCAGGCGCAAGGCTAGCAAGAAACAGCGAAAGTTAGAAAGTGTGCCTCTTCCAAATCGGCATGCTCAATCAAGCAACTCTTGTGGGGGAGTATAGGACAGCGAATGGTACTTACAAATCTGGGCGTCCACGTGGTGCCTTGGGCAGTTCTTGGATTGTCACTGCAATGCCCGTCTTGGAGTAGTCGACTGCGGTTGAGTGCAGCTCCGCGAGCTTGGTACACTCTTGATCAACTGTTCCCTCTTCTTTGAAGTCTGCAAAAATCTGGTGTCGGTTGGCAATCATGCCCAGGATATCACTCTCCATAAACTTGACAAAAAAGTCTGCAATGTCGTCACGCGTCACCACTCGGTCAAGTGCCGGTGGTGTGACTCTTGGATAATCGGCCGGGGTAAAGTAACTCTTTGGGATGACAAAGGGATCCCAGAAGATGCTGTACAAATCTCCATCGAGGTCTCCCCCGCTCAGCTGGCTTGGCAAATCGCGATCCCCCTTCTGACTAAAGACGACGCAATTTCTCAAATCACGAAGTGGATGCCCAGGTGGCGGCGTCGTCAGTTGAGCAAGCTGAATATCTCCGGGATGGAGGGCAGGTGAGCGTGTGACAAGCACAAACCCGTCCTTGACTGTCCGCTTCTTTCGACCCTGGGCCTTGTCATAACTTGAATCAAAAGTGACGTATATTTGGCCCTCGTCAAGATATCCCGTTTCGTCCATGATGCCAAACAGAGTCACTCCTTGGTCCACCGGAATCCGCGCTTTGTGCTTCAGCAGACGCAACTCTCGAAGAATGGTATGATCTACAACATTCTTCATGAACTTGTCTCGCCGGTAGTCGATCCCAACCTTGTTCAAGTACTTGATGAGCTTGGGAAATCCCACATGTGTGCCCACAAGTTGATGCTCCAAAAAGGCGCTGGTGTTTGGTGCTGAGGCGGTGACATTTCGAAGTATGTCGAGGGCTTTGTTCTGCTGATCTATGAACCACTCGGCGTTGGTCCCCATATCTTCCAGAATCTTGATTGTTTGGCGATTCAAAACAAGGCGCAGCGGCTTTGAAGCCGTATCACAAATGCCCAAACTCGTTTGGTCTGAGCTTGGAAACTTCATCATGGATTCTTTCCGTATGCAAATTACTTTGCCCTTGAGCCTGGAGTCGAGTGAGAGCATTCCCTTGATCCCTCCAAGGCGGACTTGAAAGCAGGTAGGCGTCGAATTTGTCGCCGTGAGGTGGTCCCAAATCTCCTCCATAGCATCCGACGAGATGGTACCAACCCCGTCGCTGAATACCCGGTTTCCGTCAGCCGTTTTCACGTCAGGGATGTACTTGATCTCAATGCCGCACTGGAGAATATCCACGGCATCAGGCGTTTCGGAAAAGGCTTGCCCGATACGCGCGGCACATTTCGCGGGGACACGAATGTCGCTAAAATCGCCCAGCGACTTGATGATGCTGTTGTTGTTCTGAAGCTCCATCTTGTCGACAAAGGGTGCACAAAACCACGCCGAGTGAGAGCGAAGAGAGGAGTGAGAAAACCCCAAAAACTCAAACTTTCGGCCAGCAACATGAATACCATCCTTCATGATCTTTCGGTATCGTTCAAAAATTGCCGAATTATTCACACTGGGCAGCAACGCCAGATCCTGACCGTCTTCGTCACCAAATATGACTCGGACAAAGTAGTCTGAATGCTGCGGGAACATCCTCAAGACTCTGTTCTTGTTCTCGCCATCAGGTCCGTGTAGCATAATGCGGGTTGGTGTAACCATGATCTTCAACACCCAAGCCTGTTGTTCCGAGAGTCGTGGGCCATAGGGCGAGGTGCGCATCGGATCCTCTGCCCGATGCATTTGCTCTACCTCTATCACATCTTCAACCAGTTTTCTTGCAAGGAGATGCTGTGGATCTATCCCAGGGCACGGGTATGGAATATTTTGGAACAATTGCTTCATCGAGTCAGTGGTGAATGGCAGCTGTTCTCCGGCCCTCTTGCAGTCCTTGGCAATCCGGTCCATGATTTCCAGCATTTTAAGCGCCGTTGCTGGATGCAAGTAGTTGTTCCACACCAAAGCCTGAAGCTGAAATAGTATCGCAAATGGTAGTAGTCGTAGTCTTGAATTGCTGGCGTTTTGGATGGAACCTTCGAATCTACTCATGCAGGTGGAATAGTCTTCCTCATAGGGTAGAGGGTTCCTTTGCACAGGCAGATGCTGTCTTGTAACGACAATGATTTTTCGAGATCTCAAGTCCTGGAGAGTTTCCGCATAATTCGCCGCGAGTGTTATGCGGTAAACCAAACAGTGAGCCACATATTTCTGATGCGCAGGCCACAGGCCCAAAAATGGTTGTCGCTCCCATTTGACATATTTCGATGACATCTGCTGAGCATAAAATCTTGGCACCTCTGTCAAGACGAGAGTCATTGACGCATCAGATGCCTCGGTGACGAGATCTTGGATAATATCGTAAGAAATATCAACGCGGTAATCGCAATCTCCTGAGAGCGTAAGCCTCAACGAGCGGCGTCCAAACTTGGCCACACCCTGAACGAGGAGGCCACTCTGTTCGACAAATGTCAAGACATCAGATTCTTGTGTAAAAATATTTTTTCCGCATCCGATATGGCGAATTTCTGAGCTGATAGCGGGTGCCTTTGGGTTGCGATCAACGGCGGCTGGCTTCCGTTTCTCTGGCTTCTGCTGTTCTGCCTTTCGTTCATCCTTTTGGTATTTGAGGTGCATGAGAATAGTCTCGTCAGCTCGTTTATTGCTCTTCTTGACAAAGATTTGTGTCTTGAAAAGGATTAATCTTGCGATTTCGTTGTGCTGAGATCTGAAATGGCTGTTGTAATTTTGGCGACCTGCGGCCTGTGGTGAGATGCGAGTGCCAACCCCATGACTTTGGAGAAATTTCCCTCCATCGTTTTCATTGAGAAAGGTGATCCAGGCATGAGGTTTGTTGAGAGGTTTGTCGCAGTGCCAGTCGAGGACACTTAATTTTTTCATATGTGGCTCAAGCTCAGCACGAAGTTGATCATCTGACAAACCCTGCGGCACTTTATTCAGAAACACCTCCATCGTGGCGTCTGCAGGGAACGATTGCCGCTTCCTGGCCTTGCGGCATCGAGAGAAAAAACGAGGGAAAAAAAAGGGCGGTTCGCAACGGCTTCTTAAAGATGATGTCTCGCTCTCTCACCCACGGAGACGAAAAATCGACTAGCGTAGGTGGTCAACACAACTCGATCACGAAGGGTCTCGACCCACGCAGCCTTGCAGCATGATGGCAGCAAAAGAGGGGTTAATCAAGGCCGTTTGGTGGACTCGAGTGTTTGACCCTCCCCGTTTGCTCTGTGGGGATGCTTCATTGGCCCTCTTCTAGCAGGCCAACCATGCGGGAGGCCCGCGAAGGCCGCACGGGGCGTGCAAACGGACATTTTGTGCGGTGGATGCCTGGTAAAATGAGCCCACGATGAGCTAGTTGCTGCACGGTGACTTGAGAGATGCAGCCCACGCGGCCTCTGCAGTGGTCGAGATAGCGGGGAAGGATGAGAGAACCGACGTGGTGAAGTGAGAGGCCGTCGTTTGTTGTTTCAGTTTGATTTGCGGTAGATAAGGTGGAAGAGGAGGATTGGCACAGTGAAATAATGGTTGCGAGGCGGTAGGAAAGGATTGGTGCAGCACTTGGGTGGTTGCTTGCTTCTTTCCAGGTTGCTCCGGCACGTGAATTTCACTTCACCAAAACCCCGCATCATGTCATCGAATTCTATCAAATTGCCAATACCAAAGTGGTCTTATTCTACCAGCGCTGAGATGAGATGCCCATCTAGAAATTGATACAACAAGGAAATGCTAAACTCGTTTGGTTCCCATCTCAGGACCCTGTCATTAACTCCCCGGTCAGCATCCGGCGAATCTTTCCGAACCCACGTGGGGCAGCTCCAGCTCCAACTCCAACCGTCCCCAATTGCCGAAAGCTCCAACATACGCGGGGCAGCCCGATTGAATATTTATCCGGCAGCGCCTCAACTCACAAGATGATGGTTCGGAAACTCACTCATCTCTGTAAAAGAATCTTGTATATTTAATTTCTCTCTGTATCTCATTTTTACAAAGAAGATAGAGAGGGAAAAAAAAAAAAGAAAAAAACGTAGGATCCGTTGACAGCAAACAAACAACCAACCAACCAACTACACCTTCACAATGGCGACCCCCGGCAACCTCTACGTCACAATGCAGCCTCACGACGGCCTCTCGCTTGACCAGTTCCACGAGTGGTACAACAACGAACACGGCCCAACGCGACTGCGCCTCCCGCAAATCTTCAGCAACGGCCTCCGCTATCGTGCCGCAGATGGGAAGCAGCCCGAGTTCCTCGCCGCCTACGATGTCACGGACATGGCGCATCTCGAGACCGAGACTTACTTGACGCTGCGCGCAAACCGATCCCCGAGAGAAGCAGACACCATTGGCCAGGTCGACGTGAAGCGGTATTTCTACGACTTGGTCCACATCGAGGAGTCTCCGCTCTTTATGCCAGTTGAGAAATTGACGGATGGCGAGGCAGAAGGTCTTGTGGCTGTAACTACTGAAGTCACTCTCAAGGATACCCCCGAGGCAAGCGACCTGTTCCGGAAGTGGTTCGTCGAGGAGCATGTCGGCTTCATGTCCAAAATCCCCGGCTGGTTGAGAAGTCGCTTGTTCAAGACCTCGAGTCTTGAGCCCGACCAGCCCACAAAGTACTTGTCCTTCCATGATTTTGCCGAGGAAAACGGACTTCAGGAGGCAGAGCGAAACGCTGCCACTTCCTCCTGGAGCAACGCCGACTTTGAGAATTCCGTCGCATCCAGGAACAGGCGCATATACTCTCTCTTCTACACCTTTGGCCCAGCTCCAAGAGATCTAGACCACTTGTCGAGGCTCCCTACAACAGCATCCTTCACTTCATCAGACTCCAAGACATCCACCATCGCCAGCCCAACTCCCATCATCACCTCCTTCATCACAACCCCAGACAATCTCTCCATCCCCTACCGTCTTGAAGGAAATCCCTCCCCCGACGCTCCCACCATCGCCTTCTGCAACTCCCTCCTCACCTCCCTCCACATGTGGGACGCCTTCATCGAGATCCTCAAGGTCAACCGCCCTCTTCTCCGCATCCTCCGCTACGACACCCGTGGCCGCCATTCTATCCCACAACCACCCGTCTCCGCCACTCTCGACACTCTGGCCGACGACCTCCTCACCGTCCTCGACGCTCTCCGTATCCCAAAACTGCACACCCTCATAGGCGTATCCATGGGCGGCGCCACAGCCCTCAAATTCGCCCTCAAATACCCCACCCGCCTCCACCGTCTCATCGCATGCGACTTCAACGCCTCATCTTCCCCCGCAAACTCCCAGGCGTGGAAAGATCGCGTTGCCATGGCTGAGCAGGATTCCGGCCGGGGCATCAAGGACCTTGCGGACCGCACCGTCGCCCGCTGGTTCCACCCCGCGTCCATGGAGAAACCCGAGCTCGTCAAGTTCATGACTGACATGGTTGCTGAAAACGACGTCGAGGGATTCAAGCACAGCTGCACCGCGCTTTCAGATTATGACATGAAGCCCGACATGCCGGCTAGCCACCTTCCCTGTGTTTTTGTCGTCGGAGAGGGAGATGCGAACGGAGCACTGGTGAAGGCAATGGATGGATTCAAGGGTCTCTATGGAGACGGCGCTGAACTCAGGATTGTTCCCAACACAGGCCATTTGCCCATGACCGAAGACCCCCAGGCATTTTGGGAAGCTATCCAAAATGTAGTATACCAACTGTAATACAGACGGTGTGCTGTAATATGCAGCGAACCTGATTTGATAGAAATCTGTACATCTGTAAAAAGGTAGAAAGATAGAGTATGTATAAAAAGGAGTGTAGTCAACAAAATTAACAATAATAACCGTCCAATTCTTTAGGGTATTTCTAAACTCAATAATGCTATTTGACAGCTCGCGTTTCCCTTGTCTCCCAAATGCCTTTTGACCATGGGTTGTATAAAAACCGTACTCCGTTTGCGCCTGAGCCCCCGGATTCCATTCCGTGACACAAATCATCCAATCCCTAAAATCACCTGATTGCTGAATCACAAGCTGCATCACAAGTACCGCCGCCATTACATCCGCCTCCAGTCCACCTCAAACGTAAACTCAAACGAATTGTCTGGGTTGCCAAAGATAAAGGGCACATTGGCAGCTACCACGTTTGGGCTCACCGACTTTGCGTTTCGTGACTTCCGGCGAAGCCGCTGCCGACGCAGCGCATGATCTTCGTACATCATACGCTTGTTCCGACCCTTGGGAGCTGGTGGTGCAGCTTGCGTCTTGAGCGATACTGGCGGGACAATATCCCACTCGCATGCCAAAACACCAAATCGCACCTTTTCGGGGCTTTTGTGACGACTCAACTGGCTTGCTTTGGCATATCGGATGAATCTGTCTTGCAGCCATTCCTGCATTCGAAGGACCTGTGGCTTCATGTCCCAAGCTTTGCTGTCTGCTTCGTAGTATGTTCGCGGGCCGCATTTGTATTTGCGCGGTGGCCAGTTGTCTGCTATATATGAGAATGAGAATTCGCTAGGATGCAGCAGCGAGCACTTCAACGGTCAAAATACTCACCAGAATCAGGATTTGATGGCGCCGCTTTGCGCAAGAGGAAGTAATCCACAAAATAAAACTCCTCCAGATTGGGCAAATGCCTTGCCAGAAAGTGATAAAGGTGATTCGGATAGATTACGTTGTTGTTCGCGGCTTCATGGACGAGTCCGCATAAGGGACATACTGAAGGTACTGGCTTCTCCTGCCACTGGTGGCAGTATCGCACCGCCACCCGTCGAATATTGTCCAAGCTGGGACAGTTGGGGTCGATGTCGTAGCTGCACCCGCTTTCAAAGAGCTCAGAAGGGAAATATTCCAGAAAGATGATGTCAGATGAACCTGCCAAGGCCACCAGCTTGCCGCTGCTCGAGCGAACAGTGCCTTTCTTGCGCATCAGGTTGTTCACCATGTCGTGAGATTCTCCACATGTCGTGAGGAGTGCTGCAAGCTGCTTGTTAAGGCCGTGATAACTGGAAATGTCGGACTTTTGGTTTGCTGACATGGGGACAAGGCGCGTATCCCACAACCGCCGGGGAGCAACTTCATTCTTGACCTCCAAAGCGATCTCGTCGAGGTCATCGCTCTTGTTGGAGCCACTATCGGAAATGGCCTGTGAAAAGGGCCTATTCAACGACACCCATCTCCAGTTCCGGCCCCTGCTCTCTAGTTTGACGAAGCTCATTCCTGGGGTCGACACGGCCTCTCTCCATATCTGCTGACGGAGCTCAGGCGGAAGGCGGGGGAAAGGCGAAAACGTTCGATGTTCATCGGGAATCTCGAATTTGATGTGAGGGGAGTCCATGGTGAGCCGCAGTCGCAGCAAATGTGATAGGTGATACAAGGATGAGGAGATGAAGAAGGCCGCTTGAGCAAAGGGGAAAGGAAAAGGCGATAAGAGCCCCAGGTGTCGGAGTCTGGAGAAAAAGCAGAAGTGTGTAATTTAGGGCGATTTGCAGGATGCAGCGTTCGATATTCTTGTGCGCGAGAGCTGCCCAACGGGATCGGAATCTTTTGGGTACAAAGAGTTAAAATAGTCCACCTGCCGATGACGTACTAAAAGCTGCATGTGCCTCTGCTGAAAGAAAAAGGAGGAAGTAGAACAGGAACGATTGCAGTGAACGGATTCCAGAGTGCAAATCGTGAGATGACGGTGATGATGTTGGAACGATCGTAAATATGGGTGGGAGAGGAAAAATACGGGAAGCTGAGCTGAGCTGAGCTGGAAGAAAAGATAAGATGCCGATGCCTAAATATGCGGGAGACAGAAAGAAGGAAACATCCGAATCGTTGAGCTTGAAGGCATCAATCACTCGTGCCATGTGAATGAGGTACATGTTGGCTCACAGTAGGCGCAGCAGGTACCTGACGGGTTTGTACTGTGCGGTGGTGCTGAATAGCGGCGGCTTACAGCAACGTGGAAGGCGTCGAGGGGAGACAGCGGTGAAGTT